TGTGGGGATAGAGGATGGCTCTCTGGTTTTGCTTTTGGATCTTAGGCCATGCCATTCATTGGGAGGGGCGATATATGGGATGCAGCAAGTGGGAAGAGGTGTGAGTTTTGTTTTAGACATGTTGGGCCTGAGTTTATCTTATGACTTATGGGACATCCAGGAAAAGTAGTTTAGCCTGGAGAGGCACATTTCAGAGGCATCCTAGGGAGGCCATAGTGGAAAGTATGAGAAGATCCCAGGAAAGCGAAGGAGCGGTGTGGGAAACACTCTGATAAACATTAAGATTTGGAGAATGGAGTGAATAAAAAGAGTGCTTAAGGGAGGATGAGAATGAAGTAGAGGGAAAACCAGGACAGTTAAGTATCATGGAATTTGAGGAAGGACAAAGTTTAAGGAGAGAGCCATCGACTATGTCAAATGTTGCAAAAATTTCAAGCCACCTTGAGGCAAAACAGTATCCACTGCATTTAGCCCTAACATGTCACCAGAGACACCACAGTGAGTAGAAAGTCAATGGGAATGGGGGCAGGGGTCAGACCTGAATTTGGATATGGTTCTGCTACTTAATGTACAGCCTTGGGCAAGTTAAAAAAAACCTCTCAAAATCTCAGTTAACTCATCCTAAGATGGGGATCAGAATATCAGTATCATATAGCTTTGAGAGGATTTGGCATAAGCAAAATTAAGCCCCTGTCCTCAGGTAGCTTGTGTACTAGTGGGAGAGATAGTCAATGAAGAAGTATATAAAGAAATATGGATGTTCCTCGACTTACAATGGAGTTACATCCTGAAAAACCTATCATAAGTTGAAAAAGTTCTAAGTAGAAAATGCATTTCATATACCTAACCTACCAAACATCATCATAGCTTGGCCTAGCCTACCTTAAACATGCTCGGAACACTTAGATTAGAATGGCTAACTGGAAGCTGCAGCTCGTGGCCACTGCCCAGCATTGCAAAAGAGTATCCAACGGCATATCGCTGGCCCAAGAAAAGATCAACATTCAAAATTTGGAGTAGGGTTTCTACTGACATGTATCACTGTCACACTGTCACATTGAAAAATCATAAGTTGAACCATGATAAGTTGGGGACTGTCTGTATAAAATTTCAGGTAGCAATAGAAAACAAGAGAAAGAAGAAAGTTGTCTAAGAGATTAGAGGGTGACTTGGAGGGCAGTTTTCTATTTTGACCTGGTGGAGTGGAAAGGCTTCTCTGAGAAGATGGCATATGCAGTTGAAGCCTGAATGAAGAGAGAGTAAGCCATCTGAATGTCTGGGTAATGTTTAAATGTCCTGGGGTAAAAATGGGTTTGCATGTTCCAGAATGTCAAGAAAGCCTGTGTGGTTCAAGTGGAGTGGGAGAGTATAGGAGATGAGATCAGAGAGGTGAAGTGGCCATAGGAGAATCAAATCTAGTCTCAGAATAATAAAAAGCCACCAGCGAGCTTTATGCATGGAGGTGACATGTAACAATTTATGTTTGTACAAGACCCTTCTGGTTTCAGTGCAGAGAATTAACAGTAGCACAGGCAGCAGTAGAGGCTTAGGAAGCCATTGCCAGGCCCGAAAGAGGTGGCAGTGGCTTGGCAAGGGTGCCAGTGGGGGATTTAGGATATATATTGAATTCAACAGGATTAGCTGATGCACTGGATATGAAGTTAGAGGACTTGACTTCTAGGTGTTTGGTGGTACCATCTCATGATATGGGAAAGCCCTACGGGTTTTTTAAAAGCCTGAGGGTAAAGAATAAGAGCTCTGTTCTGGACATCTTAAGGTTAAGAGGCCTATTTGATATCCAAGTGGAGAATCAAATAGGTTTTTGGGATTTAAGGGCAAAAGTATAGGATAGGGTTAACAAAATGGAGTCGGGCCGGGTGCAGTGGCTCACGTCTGTAATCCTAGCACTGGGAGGCCGAGGCAGGTGGATCATGAGGTCAGGAGTTCAAGACCAGGCTGACCAAGATGGTGAAACCTTGTCTCTACTAAAAATACAAAAATTAGCCAGGTGTGGTGGCAGGTGCCCGTAATCCCAGCTACTTGGAGGGCTGAGGCAGAGAACTGCTTGAACCCAGGAGGCAGAGGTTGCAGTGAGCAGATTGTGCCACTGTACTCCAGCCTGGACGACAGAGGGAGACTCTGTCTCAAAACATAAAATAAAATAAAATAAAATGTTGTAGTCATTAGCCCAATAGGTCTAGATGTCCCAAGGTGTGAGTGTAGGTAGAAAAAAGAGCCTATGTATGACTGAGTCCTCCAAATTATACAGGATAGGAGGTGGAGACCCAGCAAAGAAGATGGAGAAAGAATAGCTAAAGAGGTAGAAGCAAAACCAGGAAATTGGAGTATTGTGACCTAGAGGCCAAGCTGGGAAAGTGTTTTTAGAGCGAAGGAGGAAACAACTATGTCAGATGTTACAGAGAGGCTGAGTATGATGGAGGGATCATTGGACCTGGAAGCTATTTGCAATGTGGGAAAGAACAGTTTCCCTGGACTCATGGGAACAAATGCCTAATTAGAATAGATGAAGTAGTAAAGGAGAAGTAAATACATGGAGAAAATGGGTAACATGTATTTATCCTTAACATCTAGGAACAGCAGCTATAGGAACCACACAATTATCTAAAAAAGTTTTGTATAGAATTCTGCATGTATGTGACAAGATGTGTCTTCCAGGAAAACAAGCCATGGCTGTCATCAGATATTTAAAGGAGGGGTTACTACAAACTAAACTAGAAGTGAAGGTCCAAAGGCTGGCCTCCAGGCGCTCAGGCTGGGCTGAAAGCATGTGGCACTCTCTCTAGGCGCTAATTCCCTGTTCTGGCTAATGGTATGTAGCGTCTAGCCGTGATATATATTTTAAAAAGAGCAGGATTTCCCATAAGTAGAGTCTTTTAAAACCCAAACTTACAGAATCTATTGTCAGCATTGAATGATTTTTCTAGGCTAAAATAGTATCTCTGAGTGACCTCTAGTGGATATTATTTTAAAAAGCAGCCCAGACAGTCTTCATTTTATATAAAGGATATAAAAAGATTGCTTAGGAAAATGAATTTTTATAAACCAAATGATATATCCTATTCACTTAGACTGTCTCATAATCAAATGTATCCAATAAGAATAATAAAACATACAAATAGTGTATACACTAGCTTTATGTACATTTTTAAAACACTGAAGATAAATCTAAAATATAACAGTATACACTTAGAAAAAAATTTTAAACACCAGGAAAACTGTACATGTTGGCAGGGTTTCCCAGCTGAAATCTAGTAGGTCATTCCACATCATTCATTAAGGTCAAAATAGGCTTTAAAACTTTCCTTGAAGATATCGGAGCAAATTTTATCATTTTACTGGTCTCTCCTTTTGTAAGAATGGGTGATACGAGAATATTCAAAGGAGTTTCTATGTCTGCTTTAGAAATGTAAAGTGGGGCTGGGCATGGTGGCTCATGCCTGCAATCCCAGCACTTTGGGAAGCTGAGGCAGGCGGATCATGAGGTCAGGAGTTCAAGACCAGCCTGGCCAACACATGAAGCCCCATCTCCACTAAAAATACAAAAAGTAGCCAGGCGTCGTGGCATGCACCTCTAATCCCAGCTATTCAGGAGGCTGAGGCAAGGGAATCGCTTGAATACAGGAGGCGGAGGTTGCAGTGAGCTGAGATTGTACCATTGCACTCCAGCCTGGGTGACATAGCTGTTGAAAGAGAGAAAGAGAGAGAGGGCGAGAGGGAGAGAGAGGGAGGGAGGGAGGGAAGGAAGGAAGGAAGAAGGAAGGAAGGAAGGAAGAAAGAAAGGAAGGAAGGAAGGAAATAAATGTAATGTGGGCACGTACATCATGTAATCTGAAATGACGGACTTCTGGGCCTGCAGCATCTCTCTTAGGAATCCTTAGGGAATTTGGACCTCACTTGCAGGTTGACCAACAATTCTCCACAGAAAATGTCAAGGTCTCTGAATGAGGGAGTCTGTGGAATGGTTCTGTTATTTCTTCTAGCAACTGCTGATACCCAAGAGTGTCACAATAAAAATCTGATAATTTGGAGAGCATGAAATATGCATCTAGTATTCCTTGAAAAGGAATATGATAATGAAGGGTGCCAGCAGTTTCTAACTAACATCTGGGATTCTGGATCTCTTAGAGCATCTCTTTTCACACATGAACTATCAATAAAGGCTAGCAATGCTCAGATCCTCTATGGGATAAAATCCTTGGATAATTTGATCATGTAAATGACTTAGATATTTCTGAGTCAGTGATTTGCAAAGTGGGGTACTGGACCAGCAGCATCAGTATCACCTGGGAACTTTGTAGAAATCCAAATTCTTGACCCCCACTGCAGACCTACTGAGCCAGATACACGAAAGGAGGGAGGGAGGGAACGAAGGAAGGAAGGAAGGAAGGAAGGAAAGAAGGAAGGAAGGAAGGAAGGAGGAAAGAAAGAAAGGGAAAGGAAGGAAGGAAGGGAAGGAAGGAAAGGGAAGGGAAGGGAAGGGAAGGAAGGGAAGGAAGGGAAGGGAAGGAGGGGAAGGAAGGGAGGAAAGGGAGGAAAGGAAGGAAGGAAGGAAATGTGGGCACATATGTCATGTAATCTGAAATGATGCATGGGGCCCAGCAATCTGCTTTTAACAAGCTCCCAGGGAACTCTGATGCAAGCTAAAGTTTGAAAACCACTGTTACTGGTCATACCTACATTGATAAAAATGAACGATGTTACTGTGTTTTTCAGGCACTTGGAAAAAATTGTACATGCCATTAAATAAAAATCACTCCGCCAAAAAATGGGACAGCAAAGTACATACTGATATCTAGCTCATTTCTTTCTAGATATAAAGGTTTATTTGGATATAAGCAAAATAATTATAAACTAGCTCAGGAACTTTCCAAAAACTTATTTTTCTTTCAATAGTATAGCTTTATAATAAAATATTCTGTCATCAAATAGGCAATTTTATATGCATTTCACAAATATACTTCATTTGTCACTGAGATTACCTGCAGCTGGATTTTTAATGTAGCATTCATCTCTCTTAAGATAAAGTTCTTCTTCCAGTACTTCCTTAATTCTCTTATGTGGTTCGCAATATAAAAATTTCTTCCCTATAAAGGCATTAACAAAATCAATTACTTAGTATAAATTCTGCCCAATCTTCTAGTCGTTACATCTACCTGATAACTATTTTTTTTTAAAGAAGACATATTATTCCATACAGATATCAGACAATTTGCCCTGAAGGCTCTATCTTGGAACAATCTCTTCCATGGGAACTTTTAGTTGTTTTGGGACTTCACATTTTCATGTAATTCCTGAACTTGCAAGGTAGGTTTCAGGTACCTCTTTTAGGTGTTGTGAAGAAATAAAGTTCTCTCATTAGCTTCAAGAAAACTCGCGCTCCTTTATTCAATGAATTCTTATTAAAGACCTCCTGTGTTACTGGCAGTTGGCTAGGGGCTGTAGACAGAGCAATCTGAATGAGACAGATGTGTGTATGGAGCTTGCAATCCAGGTGCAGAAGAGAGAATGAAATCTCAGCATTTTTAAATCATCATTTTAAAAGACTGAAACTGAAATGTAGCAGTGAACACTTATGGACATAGGATTTTTTTCTGGCCTCCAAACCTGGACCTATAGGACATGACTACAACAGTCCAGGACTGGATTACTTCTTCTAAACACCATAGCTACATTTCTTCTGCTCAGCCCAGATGTGAGAACTCCAGAAGAATAAAAGAGCTCTGTGCCATTGGGCCTCCCCATATCTCCAGTCTCTCCTGTCAGCCTCTCTCTCTTGCTCTCTGAGCTCCAGCCATGTGACCTTGCTGTTCATTTCTACCTTTACACATGCTGTTTATGCTACGTGACCTGCCTTTCTCCTGGTTTTGCCTACATAACTTCTCAAATTTTAGGTCTTGGCTTAAACATCAGTTCTTCAGGGAAACTTGCCCTTACTCCACAATCTAGAAACGAGTTTTTATCACGGCACCCTCCTTTTTTCTTTCATTTTACTTATTGCAATTTGTATACAGTGTCATTTCTTTCTATATAATTATTTGTGTAGCTGTTCACTTAGTATCCATCTTCTTTACCAGACCACAAACTTCACAAGGGCAGGGGTGTTGTCTCTTCAGTTCATCAGAGTCATAGAACAGAGCTTGGCATAATAATAGATGCTCAACAAATGTGTGCTCAGTTAGAACTAAGCACTGTTAAATTCAAGCTCAGCTAAGGACTATTCTGTGCGCATGTCTGTCAATGCAGTTATATGGTCACTGTGAATGTCAGTTAACCGATAGTTCTAATTTCAGTACCCAAAAGCTCAATTCAAGGAACCATTGAAAACCTAAACAACCAAATACTTTAGTTGTTTAAGGTTTGATTTTAAACTCACAAATATATGGGCAGGTATCTCATCTTTTCCAGACTAATCAGTAAACAACACAAATGAGTCAATTTGAGGGGCATGCAGACTGGCCCAAAGCGGGCAAGAGACCGGCTGCTTCTGGCAGTGATCCCAGGTCATTCCTGATCATGAAGACCCAGACACACCCTCAGACATGAAAAAGTTAGAATTACATACTTTCAGGGTCTCATCCTTGTTTCCCCAACGTTGGAAGTCATATGAATAAAGTATGGAATCAGTTTACTGAAGCCTAACTTCGGTTTAATCTTCTGTTAACTCATGATCTTCAGGCAAAAAAAGGGTTAGGAAAAAAGCTAAGCCTAAAGATCACCAGCTCTCAGTTCAGGTCTTCTGACAAATTCCAGGCCTGTTGCTAGGAAAATGTACAGAAGAAATCACTAAAGGTGATTTGAGGAATTTTGATAATTGGGAGAGAACTAAGGAGCTAATATGGGCAAGTATTTCCTGCTCAGGAGAAGAAAGGAAAGGAGGGGCGAGGAGGGAAGGGAGGGAAGGCAGAACTTTCAGGCAGAAAAAGCTTCCACAGACTTGGCTAGGGAGGGAAGGAGAGGAGAGGAAAGGAAAGAAGAAAGGGAATGAGAGGAGAGGAAAGGAGAAAAGAAAGGAATGAGGAAAGGAAAGGAGAAAGGGAAAAAGGAGAGGACAGAAGAAAGGAAAGGAGAAGGGAAAGGAGAAAAGAAAGAGGAAACGAAAGGAAAGGAGAAAGGGAAAAAAGGAAGGAGAAGGAAATGAAAGAAAGAGAAAGAAGAAAGGAAAAAGAGAGAGAAAGAAAAATCTACAAACTCTAACAGCAGTTTGATGCTGATCTTTACCAGCATTTTGAGTAGATTGGTCGATAGATGTCTTGTGTTTTTTGACGATGAGGAGCTGTGATCACTGAGAAGAATGACTAAGGGCAACATTATTCCAGACTTTCTTTTGGAACAATATTATTCCAGGGTTTTGTTTTGTTTTGTTTTTGCCGAGAGCTAATAACAATTGCTACAGTTTACTGAATGCTACCATACCCTAGGCATCTTATGTATATTATTATTTCCCTTTCTCACAATGCCCTATGGGCAAGTATAATTATTCCTGTTTTATAGTTGAGAAAGTAGCTTCCTTAAGTCATAAAACTAAAATCATGAAAATGAGAAGCCACACCTACCTGAGTCTCCCAAACTCCTAGGATTATTAAAAATTGTTTATAGTTTATTACAGCCCATAGTTATAGATCCACTGCACTCTACTAATCAGTTCATACCTTGAGGTTTCAGTGGTTTAATAAACTGGAGATTGTTGAAAGAAGTGGCCAGCCAGCCAGATTACAGCAAGCACTACAAGTGATCTTAAAGGTGACATTGGCTGGGCACAGCGGCTCACACCTGTAATCCCAGCATTTTAGGAGGCTGAGGTGGGCGGATCACTTGAGGTCAGGAGTCTGAGACCAGCGTGGCCCACGTCTCTACTAAAAATACAAAAATTAGCCAGGCGTGGTCGTGTGTGCCTATGATCCCAGCTACCCGGAAGGCTGAGGCAAAAGAATTGCTTGAACCCAAGAGGCTGAGTTTGCAATGCAGTGAGCTGAAGCCTTGCCACTGCACTCCAGCCTGAGTGACAGAGTGAGACTCCATCTCAAAAAAAAAAAAAAAAAAAAAGAAGACAAAAATGAATTAATAAAATAAAGGTGACGTTAAGTCTGCGAAACATTTGGTTGGTGTTCAAAGAGCCACTTTTATATAATTCAAGGATGTTTATATGCGAAAGGACCACACTTTGTGTTTGAGAGCAGGTCTGTGATTAGGGAGTAGAAGCTGTAGAGAGAGTGAAGGCTTTTCCAATAATTAGAGACATTTGAAAATTGAATGAATATATTGTGTGTGTGTGAACAGCCTGTCTCTACTTAGGCTGAGGTCTAAAAGGAGGTTCTGAGGGAGGATGAGGCAGAGACTCTTTCATTTTCCTATCCCAACTTTGTGAGCTTGTGAAAGTTTGGACGCCTGCCTTAAGTCATTAGTCCTTTCCCTGCAACTTGTCCAATGCCTAGCATGTAGTAAAGACTAACATATGTTAAATTGATGAGTGAATGTTAATCCCACCTTTTATTCCAAAAGCCGCAGGACTAAAGAAAGTTAGATACTAGCATCTTTAATGGGGAAGTTTCCTGATTGAATTTTAAGTAGGAGGCCAGGTGTGGTGGTCCATGCCTGTAATCCCAGAACTTTGGAAGGCTGAGGCAGGAGGATCACTTGAGGCTAGGAGTTCAAGACCCGTCTGGCCAACATGGCAAAATACTGTCTCTACTAAAAATTCGAAAAGATTAGCCAGGCATGATGGTGTGTGCCTGTAATCTCAGCTACTCGGGAGGCTGATGCACGAGAATCGCTTGAACCCAGGAGGTGGAATTTCAGTGAGCCCAGACCATGCCACTGCACTCCAGCCTGGGCAACACAGGTGTATAATAATAATAACAATAATAATAATTTTAAGTAGGAGTAAAGAATCTCCATTACCCAAATATACTGAATTTAGATGCTCTAAGCAAGGCCTCTGAATGCTGCTGATAATAATAACAAAAGGAATGACAGTTCATAGTCATACCGGGGCTGATGCTCAGGGAAGAGTCCCCTTTCACCAAGAAGGCAGTGGTTCTGTAACTCCTTGATGAGGTCTCCGGGGAGGAGAGTGTGTGGTCCACCAAGCACAAGTGCAGAGGTCCTTTAGCCCAACCCTCCCTCCTGGGGCCTGCCAGTGCAGAGGAACCCTGGAGAGCCCCAGTCTGCTCTCCAGAGAGGCAATCAAGGAGGTGTTGTAGGAGGGCTGGAAGCTACTCTGTTCCTCCGGCCTGTTATTCTCACCATCGTTCCTTGGCACCTGCTGAAGACCTGTGGGTGCAAGATGCTGTGAAATAACTGTTAATTCATGAAACAGTATGGGTGAGTGGCAGCCGGACTAGGACTCAAATTACAACCACTTCCATTGTGGCTGTGGACCAGAAATGTCTTTACCTGTTTGAATACTGTGTGTTTGGCAGGGTAGAGAGGAAAGAACAGTGCGTTAAAATGTGGCCCATAATTATGAGAGTTAAAAGGATTGGGTAATTGTAGACTGAGAGTCCAAGAAATGGAAGTTAAAAGTGATTTAAGTATTTCTCGGGCACTGACTGACTGGCAAGTCACTTCCCTTCCTCTGGTCTAGATCACAATTTCCTGATCTATAAAATGAAATAACTGGCAAAATGAGCTGTGTATTTCTAAGGGTGTATATACAAACATATACAAATGTGTATATAAAATGGTATACATCTCTGTGTGTGTGTGTGTGTGTGTGTGTGTGTGTGTGTGTGTTTTAATTTCTTTCAGAATAATGCCACTACCGACTAATTTGGAGCTGATGCTTAGACCCTGGGTTCAGGCAGGTTATGGGGAAGGAGGGCTTGGAAAGATGAACCGATGCTTTCTGCCACAGTGCTATCACCTCTGGCTCTGCCAAAAACAGCAGCTCCACCTCCCCCGCCCCAAACCTTCTCAGCCAGTGCCACTGTGGTTTCCCCCAGCTGCCCGGTCCCTCGTTCTCCGCTCCCCTCCTCCCCCGTAGCGTCCGCAGCGGAAGCCGAACTCACTTTGCTGGCCGTGCTCCAGGGGGCCCCGCCCGGGTTCCCTGTGCGCCCGGCACCCCAGCCCTGCCGGCGGCTGTGGCTGCTCCTCGTCGTGACCCGCCTCGGGCGCCACCACTGCGGTCACCACCACCGCCTCCTCGCCTGCCATGCCGCAGGGGTCTTCTGAGAGCCTCGGGCCCGCTTTCCTTCTCAGCTCCGTCCCTGGCCGCGGGCACACGAGGCGTCTCGGGTTGCCATAGTGACTGCGGATCCTTCCCGCCCCCAGCCGCCCTTCGGAGGCCCCAGGTGTCCCGCGCGCCACAGAAGGCGCTACACTTAATCAGTCAGCTACACTTAATCCTTCTTGGTTTACTGTCTTCTGAAATTAATAAGTGTAGACCTTAAATTCCCTTTAGAGAAAGTATTTCATATTGGACAAGTTGAATGGTCATCTAGTAATCCCACAGATGGACTGGAGCATCTTATGATAAAATGATTATAGCAAAGACAAAATCAATGATTTGGTGATCCTATTTTGTAGGCTGTTGCATAAATTCCTAGAACCATTGCAGGTAGGGTGAAGATGGTATATGTGTTGATCAGGAATCAAGAGTTGATCCAGAGATTTCATTTTGGTATGGGACATAAATTTCAGAATAGTCTCTGGGCTTCTTTTCATCATGATATTCTACCACTGTGATAGATAACGTAATAGATGTCAAATAATAAAATGTCTTAATATTGTAGTATAAAGACTCTAACTCCCACCACTGTGGTACGTTGTAGCTAGAAGGCTCGCTGGAAAAGCCTATTTAAGATTCATAACAGCAAAGTCAACTAGTTCTACTTTAGGCCTGAGAATTATAATATGAACTTTGAACAATCACAGAAATTACCTCTTCCTCAAGCATATGTTATTCAAAATTAAACCCTTCGTTATGAAAAACTGTTTTTTAAAAATAAAGTCTAAACTTTCCAAGATCAGAGAATATTCTGTTTGCAAACTGAGCTATTTAGCCTGCTTAAACTGGAAAATAGAAGTAATCCTTTCAAAGCACAATTAGTGACTGCTTTCAGTAGCAAAATGCTCCGGAAAGTATAAAGGAAGCAGACAATACAAATTCTGCCCTTAGGGGGTGGGATTTCTCTAATCTGTAGAGTTTGCTCTCTAGCATCAGTGAGTGTTGAGGCCTGAAAACAAGTGAGTTGATACATCTTAGGTTCTTATCAGAAACAAGACTTCCTTGGTCCACACTTAAACAGAAAGTTTTGGAATCATGGGTGCAGTCCATTCTCAAGTGAGAAAGAAGCCTCTTTCAGCAATCTGCTTGGATAGATAAGGTCTTATTCTATTATCACTAGCTATCAGCTGTACCTGTCATTTGGTGTCACTAACTTAGGCCGTTTCAAACAGAAAGTAACCTCTTTCTGCCACAAGGTATCTCCCTAGGTAGAAATCACAACATAAAGTACTCACTCTCAATATCCTGTTGTCACAATGATTCAGTTCATATATTATCTGTGACTTTTCTGATATAATCTAGTATGTTCTAACCAAAAATAAATATTTAATGTTTGATTAAATAACATTATTATTTAGTCTAGGGTGATTGGGTTACATAGAATGGATTGAAAGATATAAGTCTTGGTGGACATTTAAAAAATTTAACTTAAAGAGCAATTGGTGTAATTCCCTTCTCCCAGAGTGTTCTGATGTTGAGAAGATAAAACTTTGGCAACCATCATAGAGGGACTAGGTAGTCAATGGGAAATTGCTGCTGTAGAGACTGACAGTAGATATTAAATAGCTAAACGCGTGCTGGATAAATAATGTTCTGGACCCAAGAAAGACATACGCAGTTAAAAAAAAGAATTCATGCCTTTTGTGTTGTTCAAAACTTGTACTTTATTTTTCGCAAATATTTTTACTTATGCTGTTTGTCATTATCCACAGTGGTTTTTTTGTTTGTTTGTTTTTTAAAAGCCTGAGCCACTTTGTGGTTTTAGCCTCAATATAATAATCATCCCCTTACTCTCAGAATTCATTTTCCCATTAGTTTGCCCTTGTATAGTTTGTAAAAATGAGGACCTTAGAAAATCAACATTTCCTGTGAACTTGAGAGATTATGAGAGCAGTGCCCAACTCAGTAGGATTAGGCAGGTAAAACCAGTTGGATAGCAGATATATTATGATCTCTTGGACAAAGGTATAGTTGTGTGCATGTCTACAAGGTCATAATGATTCGCCATTAGCATAACGATCATTAGGTTGACCAGGGTGAGGTAGGACTATCCAAGGGATTGTGTAAATTGTGGCAGGGGAGGCAGTATACAATATTCATGAATTAAACACCTAGCTAAATGCTTTCCTGAAAATGGTCTGTGTTCTAAAAGACAAGGATCTAGGTTTTTGCTGTTTTTTTCTTTAACTTATGAAGATTCAAGTTACTAATATCTTACTTGCACTGGTTTAAAATGAAAGCAACTGGCTATGGTAAGGTAGAGAAGACAGATGAATTATATCAGAATATTTTAGACTTTTAAATGAGGTTCTGAGTTACCTCACCTTATAAAAATATGTCAATATACAATTACTAATTGTATATTGCTAATTACTCAACAAAGATCTAGGATGTGGGATATTTAAAAATACATTTCTCTTGGATCAGCACCAAAAATATCAGTTTCTATACAACCCGTGTCAAGTTTTGAAGTATACACACATTAAAATTATTTCTGATAAAAATGACAAACTCCACAGAAATCATTAAAGATATATGCAAACAACTTTCAAATACATTTGACATCAAAGTCAGGCAATCCGCTTGGAAGAACATTATAATGAATACGACAGAATTTTTGTAGTAAGATGTTTGACATCAACTTTGATTATGGGAATACTTTACATCTCACACAAAGGAGGCACTGGCACTTAGAAACTTAAGAAAATTACTGTAACTGTTAAGACTGAGGTGAAGAATTTGTACAGCCTTCCACAATTTCAAAGAGGTAGTGATAGAGACTTGTCCTCCTGGCAATATCAAATGCAGTTTCTTCCAAGTTGTTTTTCAGCCCTGGTTTGACGTAACGGTTCATCAGGAGGAGTTCTAGGGTATCCTTGCTGTCTCTGTTCCCAGCAGCAAGATGCAAGGGGGTCAAGAGGCCTTTTGTTTGGGCATTGATATCTGCATCATGCTGCAGTAAGAAAGAAGCCACTCTGGTATTATTCCACTTACAAGCACTGTGCAGGGGCGTCCAGCCATCCACAGTCACTGCATGAACATCTGCCCCCTGAGCAATGAGCTCCCGGACAATATCTAAGTGTCCACTGTAGGCTGCGCGATGAAGAGGCGTATACTCATCTTCATCCCTAGTGTTCACGTGAGTGGCCTTTTCAGAAAGTAGTCTCCGCACCGTAGAAAGCTGAGAAGAAAAAAAGAAATCTTTCAACTCAACTCAAACCAAAACAACAAATAAAGTTGCCATGTGGGGTTAGATTTAATTAAATTGAATAAAAACATCCTTGTTAGTTGATGACTTTAAAATGAAAATGATTTAAGATCTCTTTTTTGAGAAGAGAGGACTACTGATTTAAGACGGGACAAGTTAGTGTTAACTACACTTTGTTGCTTCTACGAATGAGATTCTCTGAATACCAAACCATATATTTACTCCTGGTCCAACTAAGGTTTACTGCATAAAAGCTTTAGTCCAATGAATAACATAGGCTTTAGTTCTATTTAATATTTTATATGTTATCTGTGAAGAAAACATAGCTGCTTTATTTTTCCATAGTAGGATTATCACATCAATATACACACTGTATGAAATGTTTAAAAATAAAACTTTTAACAGAAGAATAAAGTATTAATAAGGAATTCTAGGGATTCAAGAGCTCAATTCCTTCTAAATACAATCTTAGAAACACCCTTTCCGGTTGTAATTTTTAGTTTCTTATATGGGTCTTTGGTTAAATGTGGCATGCTCTTGGGTTAAAAAGCTATTTAAAATGCAAGACCCTTTTAGTTATTAGTTTACTAACACAGGCAATGGGGAAACTTTGTAAAATGAAGTGGAAGTGGCGAAGTAGGGTTCATTCCACTATGATGATCCTGGGAAATTAATATCCCTGAATCTCAATTTCTTACTCTATAAAAGAGAAGACTATTATTCCTAGGGATATATGAAGATTAAATAATGTAATAATGTACCTGGTATAGTTGGTATTTAATAAATGTTAATTTCCATCCTCTCTTTCCTAAATGATCCTAATGACTTTATATAAATGATTCGAAAATATAGATGATTTCTTGTTATCTTTATGGATAATTATCCATAACCCCCCAAATAATACCTAGCATGATATTTTGCAGCTTAATATGTGCTTTCATGTACATTGTCTCATTTGATCCTCATAATTGAGAGATAGGTACGATGGCCACAATGGTAAGGGAGTCTTCTGGACTGAACCCAGTGCTTTTCCTACTGTTAAACTTCCCTCTCTTTTTTTTTTTTTTTTTTTTACCCGGTTTTTTTCAGCAGCCCAAAGAAGCAATTTGCTTGGGTCTTTTTCCATTTTTTTTTCTTGCAATCGATACCACTCTTCATCTTTTTCATCTTGCTCCTCGTCTTCATCAGAATTGCCTACCCAGAGACTTTGAGTCCCAGTAGGAATAAGGTGTCCATGTGTTTCCAACAATTCAAGTTGGTTAAAGTGTTCAGAAAAATCCAAGGAATTCTCTTGGTCTAGTATTCCATCATTTCCTTTTTCTTTTTCCATTTTTACTATTATTCTAAATAAAAAGCATTTCAAATGCCATGGTAAAAACAATCTTTCTAGAGATGAATTATGACTGCTTTATTCATCAAGATCTGAAAATACAAATACAAAAGTTATTAGTAAAACAATAATTCAAGCTTTATCAATTGCATAGATAAATCTTGCAAAGATACACAATTAAACTCTGTCTAAACTCTTGTTTTCTTCACGATATCCCTTACATACACTGAATATTGGTGCTGGCAGATTTCAGTTATCTGTGCTCTTTAATGGTCTAATGCTTCTTTTGTTGTTTTCTTCTAAGTCAACTATATTACTATAACATTTTTAATCTTTAGGTATGAGGGTATTATGGTAAGAGTGATGAATGCTTGAAGGTTTTGAAGCATAATACAATGAAGACAGGTGTATTCAAGATTTTTATAAACTAGACACACAGATAATATAGAGCAGACATAAAAACTAATTCCTAAAAATCTACTTCGAAGAATCAGGGATTCTTGAAGACGGAATAGCCCCCAAAAGGACATCTGTCCCAGTCTCTGATCAGTGTTTATATCTTTATCACAACATCTAGACTAATTATCCTATTTCAACTTTGATAATTTCAGGCCTAGGAAACTTCACTGCTTTAAAAAGTAGTCCTATTCATTGATAGGCAACTATAGTTCTTAGTTGGCTCCTTGTTTTCAATTGAATTTTGGCTGTCATTCTTTCCTTCATACAACTCATATGAATAGAATGTCTTGTATGTGCCAATTTCTGGGTACTGGGATTCAGTAATGAGCAAGACCCATGTCTTCACCTCAGGAAGCTTACTCTAGTGTAGGTGACCGGCAAAGGTACCAGGTGTCTGGCAAAGACAACATGATAAGTACAACAGAACCATGTCTAGAAACCATGAGTATACAGGAGGTTCATAATTCCCCTAGTCCTAAGGGATTAAAGAAGGCTTCCTGAAGGAACTGATGTTTATTCTGCCAAGCTGCCACATTAATTTATAAACCAGTATCCGCTTAAAGAGTTACACAGCATATAAACCTTAATCAATTAAAGAAAAGGAGAAAAATCAATAGAGAATTTAAACATACCAATTCTTAGCCTCTGAACTATATGTGTTATAATCTTATCAGTCTTTCAAGGTTCTTCTCAGATGTTATCTCTTTCATTCTTTCTTGATCTTCCCATTTAGATCTCTCTGCTTTCTACTTTTTTTGGTGCTACATTTTGTTGTATTTCACCACTAACTTTGTTCTTGTTTTAGCCTCTTAAATATTATAAGCTTAAAGATAAGGACCACAGTAAATTATATTTAACTACCACTTGTCTATAGAAAGCATTAAGAAATACATCTGGCATTAAATTTAATTAAAGTCTTGGCACTTGATTTTGCCTGGAATGGATTCTGAGAAGTTCCGGAGTTAGGCATAACCCCAAGTTGCTGATTTCTTTGTACCTAATCTCACAAGTTTAACAGTGTACAATCCTAATGTACTGAATTTTATTACTAGTGGCAATAGCACTAAACTCAAGTTTAAATTTATTACTCATGTCCAGTAACTTTTCTGGACCTGTTACTTTATTGTAAAATGTAAGAATTTTACTAAAGTGTTCCTAAGGCCGATCCCACTTTTCAGTCCCATTCAGAGACACCCAATCAGAATTGCTTTGTGTTTTATTAATTCTCCTGGAGCTTCCACTTTTTCCTTCTTAAACTAATTCCTGAACCTTGCAACACAAAAATGACTATACATCAATTCATTAAACACTTAACAGATGCTAATAAATAATGTAAAGTTCACTTGTAATTATATCAAATATAGTAACCTCATACCACAGATCTTACCCTTTCCCCCAACGTGCCTTTCCTTTTAATAAAAACTCCCTTTATATAAGTTTTGAGTTTACAGATCCATGTATAATAAATTATATAAAAAATTTACTGGCATATTTAGTTTAAACCAAACCTAGGCGCATCTACCCGATTCACAGTTAAAAATCAAAACTGATTAGCATCCTTACTTGATGATGATATCAGGAATATCAGGGTATGTTTCTTAACTTAAAGGGAACATCCTATTTTGAGAGACAACCGAACTATGTCAACTCCTTACAAACAACTCAGTGATAGGCGCAGCTATAAACCTTGCAGGTGAAGGCACTGAGGTTCAGATAGATTAAAACAACTTGCCCTAGATCAAGGACCATTCAATGGAACTGAAAGGGCAGACATTCTAATTCAAAAGTTCCACATTATTTTTCACTGCACTATACATCTTACTGCTCTCAGCACAAAGCAATACAGATGTGCTGAACTCAAGGACCCAGGGGTGACACCGGTAGAAGTTCTGGCGAGTGGGAGGGAGGGAGAGGGCATCCAGCTCCGGCACTCTGCTACGGGCCGATAGCTCACAGGCCCACGAGCTCCGGCTGCGGCCTTCCAAACAGCCAAGAGCGGAGAAGCGGCTTCAGTCCTACCTGGGGACCACGACGCGGCCCAACCTGCAGGGCTCGGCCTGTGTCCACAGGCTACCCACCCCAATGGGATCAGGAGTTCTTAGATAGCGCGAGTCCACCAGGAAGCGAGGTCCGGGACAGGGAATAACTACCCACCTGACAGAAGGGAAAAACGCCGCCGTGCAGCATCTCACTTCCGGGTTCGTTTCCTCGGCTGCTCAGGGTTGGCTCCTGCGTGAGGCGGGTCCTCTCCGCTACTTTCCCCGCCCCCTCACGGCGTGCGGCAGCCAATGAGAACCAAACTGGACTTGAAGCGTCTACGTTGTCCTTGAAGTGTCGCGAGAGAAACGGATGCCGTTCTCTCCCGCCGAATTCAGGTTTATGGCCCTGCGGGTTCTCAGAGGCAAGTTCGGATAGTGCTGTTTTCGTCTCACGGATCCCGCCGTTTCTTTCCGGAAAGTAGACTGCCTCGGGTCCCGATGGTGGGGCTTTGAAGAGTCCAGGAGTGGAATAATTTAGAAATTGTATCCGCCTCCTGTTTCTGCAGGTTCCCAGGCGGAAGCCCAGAGTTCATTGGAACCTCAGGAAGACTGGGCCGAGTGGGCCAGGTAGGGGTCCTGGCGGGTCCTCTGCGTTCTAATTTCGAGGCGCCCCGCGGTAGGGGCGTGTTGAGGCTTGGAATCCTGGCGGAATTTGGAGCTCCAGACGTGGTGGGGGTTGTCTCACGGTGGCAGCCGCTCCTCCCCAAATTTAGCTTTTTTCAGTCATCCTACTGGTGCCTAAAGGTGCTCCTCTGCAGACCAAGTGTTTATTTACATTCGCTTTAAACGCGGGGCCCTTCCCTTTTCCAAACAAGCCAGATTCTTAAAAAAAAAAAAAAATCGAGTGTTTGAGCAGGAAATACAGGATTGCCTCCGTTCTCCAGAGTAACTTATGCGTGCAACTTAAAAATGTCTGCACATCTAGAGTTGTTTGTGTGTTGAACCAGAACTGTGACACTCTTTTTGCTCATTTATTTAACATATATTAATTTCCCATAAGAGCACAGTAAAGGAAAATAGGAGTTTAATCATTCTGATGAAACTAGAATGGCATGGAGATGTGTTGTTTTCTGTGCTTAGCTCATTAAAAAATAAAAGTATAGTGGGTGTTTACATGAAGATGAGACTTCCAGATTTGTCAGTCTGCTTATTTAAGACGTCTGTACCTTATGCAGTGTAAATCATGTTGGTTAAATATGTGCAGGCTTTTTAAAAAATGTGTTTTACGATGTAATTTTGTTTTTAGAATTTCTAGGATTTGGAATCGAGTGCATTTTCTTACATTTGAATACCGGACCCAGGGGTTTTTGGAGAAGAACCTGGTCCCAGAGGCGCTTGACTGACCATAAAAATGAGCCATGCAGACGCACTGTAAGCACCTGACTTCTGGTATCCCTTGTTATTTTGGGTTTCTAAAGCTTCAACTGTGATCACAATAAAAGAACACTTATTTAATAAGCAGTAAATAAGGAACCTGCTTGTGAACAGAAATATTAGTCATCAAAAAGGATATTTGGAATGTTTTAAATTTTTATCTGTTTCTTAACTGGAAGCTAATATACAGCTATAGATTGAGTCTTGCCGTAATCTGATACATATTGCTATAGTATTAAGTTTATGTCCTTAGGCTTTGTCGTAAATTATTGAAGTTATAAATATTCTTGAATTTTCCTGACAAATTCTTATTAGTCAACGCAGTTTCTGTTTAAGATTTTTAGAGTAAATTCCTCTACTATTAAATAAGCTCGAAATGAATTCGAGCAAAATGGGAATAAATAAAAGGACTGTAAAAGTTACGTGGGAAAGACTTTAGACTTGGAGTCTTTCACCCTGGTTTCAAGTCTTTGGATGCTACTAGCCGTGTGACCTTGGGGCAAATCAACAATTCTCTGAGCCTTGCCTCAGTTTCGCCATTTGTATAATTGGAATAACTATACCTTCTCAGATTAATTTTGAGGCTTAAATGAGAGAATTCATGTGAAAATACTTTATAAATTGCTACAGAAACATGTAGTATTGTGAGTTGAAAAGTATTCTGACCTACCTTCTTGGATATAGCAGTCAGAACTGTGTGCATATCATTTTTGAAGTTTTTGAAGAGAAATTGTTTCTGGAAATATCTTTTGTTTGTAAAGATTTGAATTTTGGAGATATATACAGAAGTTTTTAGAAAATTCATTGTGGTTTATTGAAAATAGCCTGAGTTTTCATCATGGGCTTTAGCCTTGTTTCTGTTCCTAATTGTGTAATAAAGCAGTTAATTTATCTGGGTTTAGCCTTCTCATTTGTCAGAGATACTAATGCCTGACTCTGGGGGGGTTGAGATAAGATCATAGAAATAAAAGTATTTTATATAATTAAAGTTAAATTTAGTGTAAGCGAGTATTAATAACTATTGCATTGCTACTTCACATTTAAGTATCTTTGAGTCTTGCCAAATTCAAATTGAAACAACTCTTGTTTTGTTACTTGGCCAATTTTATTCATGAAATCTAACCCTGTATAGAGAGTAGAGTCAAGCAGGTGACTTCAGGGGCCTGAATGTAGGTTACTAGAATATTAGTATAAAATTGACTTAAAAACTTCGAGGAAGGCTTTTTAAATTAACTTTGATTTTTCTAGAAAAGTACAAAGCCAGATTAATAACAAGTTTAGATATAGGTTCAAACCTGTTTGGTTTTTGCTGTGCAACAGAAGAGGAAAACAAGCCGACTGTTAGGCCTGGGTTACATGAGTTTGTAAAACTGGTTATAACAAGGTTATAAATTTTTGAAGCAGTTATAGAACCTTGTAAAGATTTATGTATATTTGTTACATATTGAACTAGCGGTTAGGAAAACTGTAATGTTAGTGATATGTTGACTACTTCAGATTTTCAGATGAATTATCAGGCTAAAAAAGGATTTTATTCCATATCTGTTATTATTTGTTTTATAAGTTTAAGTTTCAATTTGTTTGAATATCCTTTTAATAAATTATTAATTTATTGAAATGTTTCTTTCTTAATATAGTGATGATGAAAACACGTTTAAAATCTTAGTTGCAACAGATATTCATCTTGGATTTATGGAGAAAGATGCAGTCAGAGGAAATGATACCTTTGTAACACTCAATGAAATTTTAAGACTTGCTCAGGAAAATGAAGTGAGTGTGGTTTAATTTGTGCAATTTCTAGTATATTCTTTTAGTTAACAAGTTATTTTCCCTTCTAAAATTAGAGATTTGTTTTATAAGCTCAGGTGCTTACTTTGCCTGCTTAAATGTCAATATACTAAAAGCTCAATGCCGATTTTATGTGCTTCGTGTGCTAAATTCAAGTAGGAGCTACTTTTGTAAATAGTCTCTTAAAATTTATAGACGTTTTTGGGGTGTTTACTGAATGCAGGATCCTGTGGCAGTGTCTCTTTGAAATGTGACTGTCAAAGCCTTTGCTTTCAGAGGACATAGAAGCCAATCAGTGTGAAAGACAAAACAAATATCCACAATCTTCTGATGCAAGGTTGTATGTGATAGGAGCCCTAAGAAAATTCTAAATAGCATTTCCTTCGAGTTTAGAGGCAGAAAAGATCACATTTATATGATAGCAAGATGAGCTTAATGAAGAAGTTTATGTTTAACTTGGGCTTTGGAGGAAGGGTAGAATTTTGGTCAGTGGGGAGCATAGAGAATGTACATCCATGTGCAGCAGGAGTGAGGGCACAGGTGAGACAGTGTTAGGTATGTTAGGGGCCCTGTAGTCAATTTGCCTCTCCAGCAGGTCATAGTTAGCAAGCATGCTGAGAGACTAGAAGTGAGGGTTTGAGCTGCAATAAGGAGAGCTTCAAATATCAGATTGAGAAATTTCCACCCAGTTCAATAGAAAGTCTTCTGGCAGCAGAGTATAGTAGCATGAATTGGAGACCTGTTTGAGACTTTTTTGAAGTGCTGACCTTAGGGATGGAAAAGAGGAAATGAATGCCAGAGATACTGCAAAGAGAGGATTTATGTACTTTGGTTAGTTGTAGAGGATGGGGATGAGGGAAAACGGATGACAGTGACTCTAAGTGTGTGGAGTTTGGGTGAATAGTTACACAAAAATAGAAATAGATAAGGAAGAGAGACTTCCTCGTGTGGGAAGTTGACAAATTCTGATTTAGACAAATTTAGAGTTGGAGACTGCAATGGGACATTCAGGAAAAATTTGCAGCAGGCAGTTGAAATATCAGCCCAGGAGAGAGCTGGAGAATAAACATAAATGATGACTTGCAAAGTAACACCTCCAACCTTGACTTTTCTGCAGCGTTCTCTTCAGTTTATCTGCTAGGCCCTTAGTTCTTCCTCTCAAATGTATATGGTGCCTCTCTTCTACTGTCTTCACACTAGTAAACTTAGTTTAAAACTTTATCACATTTCACATGGACTGCAGTAGGTCCCCTTCGGCCTTTCTGCTTCCATTCTTTGCTGCTGCATCTACTCAGCATAACAGCCAAAGTGAACTTTTAAAATAATAAATCAGATCATGGCACTCTGTTGTCTAAAATTTTCCAAGTGTCCTTCTGTTGAATCTAGTATAAAATTCAAACTACAAGGTTCAACTCAATCTTGGCCCCTGCCATGAAACTTTATGTCCTGCTACCCTCTGCCTGATTTACACTACTACATCCACACTGGCATGTTCTACTCTGAGGCCTTTGCACATCTAGTTCTTTCTGCTTGGAGCACCTTGCTCTTGGCGGGGTTAACTTCTGAGTTCTCAGTTCAAGTCTTACCCTTTTGGAGACATCTTCCCTGATGCTTGCAAGCACTCTTTTATCACATTACTCTGCTTTATTTTTTTCATAGCATATTTTTAATAGCACTCTGAAATAATTTATTGAATTGTTTACTTGTTTTTTATCTGTCATCTTCACTAGAAGGAAAACTCCACGAGAGTGAAAAATCTTTTGTTTGTTCATGCTAAATCTTAATGCTTAGAAAGGATCAGAAAGCAGTGAGTACACATGTTTTAAATTTGTTAATTGAGTGAGGCAGTGGCTGGATTCTTTATTTTAGGTTCAGAGGTACATGTGCAGGTTTGTTATATAGGTAAACTCGTATGACAGTGGTTTGTTGTACAGATTATTTTGGCACCCAGATACTAATTCTAGTACCCATTAGTTATTTTTCCTAATCCTCTCCCTCCTCCTAGCCTCTGCCCTCTTGTAGGTCCCAGTGTCTATTGTTCCCCTCTCTGTGTCTATGTGTTCTCATCATTTAGCTCCCACCTAAATGGGAGAAGTGGTATTTGGTGTTCTATTCCTCTGTTAGTTTGCTAAGGATGATGGCCTCCAGCTTCATCCGCGTCCCTCCAAAGGGCATGATCTGTTTCTTTTTAATGGCTGCATAGTATTCTATGGTCTCTATGTACCACATTTTCTTTATCCAGTCTACCATTGATGGACGTTTAGGTTGATTCCATGTTGCTGCTATTGTGAGTAGTACTGCAGTGAAGATATATGTGCATGTGTCTTTATGATAGAATGATTTATATACCTTTGGGTTTATACCCAGTGATAGAATTGCCGGGTCGAACGGTAGTTCCATTTTTAGCTCTTAGAAGAATCGTCACACTGCTTTTCATAATGGTTGAACCAGCTTACACCCCCACCAATAGTGTGTAAGTGTTCCCTTTTCTCCGTAATCTCACCAGCATCTGTTCTTTTTTGACTTTTCAGTAATAGAATGGCTGGATTCTTAAAAGAATCCTTGTAAGCTGCATTTTTCCTTCCTTGAAGGCAAAGAAACTGTGGCCAAAGGAGATCTGTTTCCTGCTGGAGAATCCTGCATGTGCTTTCTTTTTTGACTCTTGAGTCCTAAAACAGAATCCTCCCCTGAGTGTAAGCTACTTACTTCTACTTTGCCCTTTCCTGCCCTTCTGCTTCCTCTATTTCCCTTCCCTGCATCCCTTAATCGTAACTGCTTCCCACCGCACACCACGCCATAACCCCATGTTGGGACTTCTAGAGGCATATTACATTTACTCGTTCTCTTGATTCTGTAAATAATGGCTGAATGAATTGAATGAATGGTTTGGATTGAATTTGGTATCTATTCCATATGTTCTGTTAAAGTGCTAAGTTTAAATTTTATTTGAATAATAGAAAAAATATGATCGCCTTTTGTAGTCTGAATCAGAGACTTGGTGTAGTAATCGGAAGATGGCTTTTTTGAAGATAGCTGAGTCAGCTAAATTGGAGTCAGATTAATTACTAGATGGAAAATCCCTTTGAATAAATGTAAATTTTTAAATTGCTGTACATAACAGTGTCTTTTGTGAGTTTTTTTTTTTTACCTCTTTCATCTGTAGTTTACAAAATTTGTACCTGTAAAACAGACTAATTTTAACACCATTTTCTGTTGATCAGGTGGATTTCATTTTGTTAGGCGGGGATCTTTTTCATGAAAATAAGCCCTCAAGGAAAACATTACATACCTGCCTCGAATTATTAAGAAAATATTGCATGGGTGATCGGCCTGTCCAGTTTGAAATTCTCAGTGATCAATCAGTCAACTTTGGTTTTAGTAAGTAAGTATACTGGTTTACTTGAGTGAATGATTACTTATGTATAGTATTTTCTGTATAAGACACATAAACACACAATTAACCATTTTGCCTTCATTATAAGCTATTTTCATAGTAAATGTCATTGTTTGAAGTTTTGTACATCATCATATTAATTTGTATTTTCCTAATTAATAGTGGGACTGACCCGGCTACTCAGGAGGCTGAGGTGGGAGGATTATTTGAACCCTGGAAGCAGAGGTTGCAGTGAGCTGAGATTGTGCCATTGCACTCCAGCCTGGGTGACAGAGCAAGAGTCCATCTCAAAAAAAAAAAAAAAAAAAAAAAAAAGGATGGGACTGAATATATTCTCAGGTTTTTATTGTACATTTTGGTATCCTCCTCTGTTCATATCCTTTGCCTATTTTAAAAATTGAGATATTTTTGTATGTTTTTCTACATGAATTGCAGAAGTTACTTATATATTCTAGTTAGTAAACCTTTGTGATGCATGTATTTTTTCCCAATCAGTGGCTTGTCTTTTGACTTTGTTTATGGATTCTTGTTGACAGAAATGTTTAATTTTTATGTAGTTAAATCTATTGGGTTTTTTTTCCCCCCCATTTGTGCCTTTGGGACTGTTTATGATATTTGTTAATTCCTATATTATAAACATACTATCATGTCTTTTCTCTTTTTTCTTCCCTTTTTTCTTGAGACGAATTCTCACTCTGTTGCCCAGGCTAGAGTGTAATGGTGTGATCTTGGCTCATTGCAACCTTCACCTCCTGGGCTCAAGCAGTTCTCCCTGCCTCAGCCTCCCTAGTAGCTGAGATTACAGCCCCCCACCTCCACCACCATACCCAGCAAATTTTTGAATTTTTAGTGGAGACAGGGTTTTGCCATGTTGGCTACGGTGGCCTTGTACTCTAGACCTCAAGTGATCTGCTGGCCTAAGCTTCCCAAAGCGCTGGGATTACAGGCATGGGCAACTGCTCCCCGCTTATCATGTCTTTTCTGAAATGTAAAGAATCCCACATTGTATTTAGTAGAAAAGTTTCCTTAGTTTCTTGAGCCTGTGTAAGGTTTTCTGTCTTTCCTTGTCTTTCATGACCCTGATATTTTTAAAAAAATCAGGTATTTTGTAGAATGTCCCTCAGTTTGGGTTTTTCTCTTGCTTTCTTATGATTAGATTGGGATTACAGGTTTCCGGAGAGAATATTCAACAAGTGAAGGACCCTTTCAGTTGCATCACATCAGGAGATGCATGACATCAACCTGATTTATCACTGGTGATGTTAACCTTGATCACTTGGTTAAGCTGGCCTCTGCCAGGTTTCTCCACTGTAAAGTTATTATTTTTTCCTTTCCATATGCTGTTGGTTAGAATTGAATCTCTGAGTTCAGCCTACACTCAAATGGAGGGGTGGTACGTTTCCCATTTTTGATGGACGTAAGTTAAAACCACCAAAGTAATTGTTAAATATTTTAGGGGAGATATTTTGAGGCTGTGCAACTTTTCTGTTTCTCCTTAAAATTTGTTCATTAATTTTAGCATTCATTAGTGGATCTTACCTACAACAGTTGTAACTGTGATAGTCTAATTGTGATTTTCTATTTCCTATATTCTTTCTACATGTATTAATTGGCATTCTTCTGTAAGGAAGATTTGTCTCATTTCCCATATTTATTTATTCAATTGTTACATCAGTAGAAACTCATTTTTTTTCCTTTAGGTTATAATTTCATACGAACATAATTTACTTGTGGCTTAAATTATTCCAGCTTTAGCTATTGGACTCTTTTTGAGATTGGCTCATGTATCCTTTTGATATGCACCCTTTTTCCACCCTGTCTTCTGATTTTTTTCACTGTAAGATGTTCCAGGCTAATTTTGTACTTTATCTTTCTTAGCTTCAGACTCAACCATTTCTTCAGGGAGCCCTGGTTCCTTTTGGAGAATGGTATTTGGAAACAAATACTGTTACTGTTGTATTGTTGCTGCTTCTAGTCTCTCAGTGGACAGAGTGAAGAAAAATATGTGTACCTACTAACCCATAAGAATAGACATATTCATGTTTGTTTAATTTTTGCTTTTGAGACAGGGTCTGGCTCTCTTGCACAGGCTGTAGTGCAGTGGCATGATCATAGCTCACTGCAGCCTCAACCTCCTGGGTTCAAGCTTATTTTCGTATCTCAGCCTCCTAAGTAGCTGGGACTACAGGCGTGTGCCACTGTATTAGTCGGTTTTCACACTGCTGATAAAGAAAATACCCAAGACTGGGCAATTTACTGAAGAAAGAGGTGTAATGGATGTACAGTTCCACATGGCTGGGGAGGCCTCACAATCATGGTAGAAGACAAGGAGGAGCAAGTCATATCTTACATGGATGGTGGCAGGCAGAGAGAAAGGTTGTGCTGGGAAACTCCATTTTTAAAACCATCATATTTCATGGGACTTACTCACTGTCATGAGAACAGCACTGAAAGCTCCCCCAGACCCATGATTCAGTTATCTCCCACAAGGCCCATCCCATAACATGTAGGAATTATGGGAGCTAGAAGAGGAGATTTGGGTGAGGACACAGAGCCAAACCATATTAGCCACTGTGCCCTGCTAATTTTTAAGAAATTATTTTGGGTAGAGATGGGGTCTCACTGTGTTGCCCAGCTGGTCCTGGGCACAAGCAGCCTTCGTGCCTTAGCCTCTCAAAGTGCTAGGATTACAGTTGTGAGCCACCATGCCGAGCCCAAATTTATTTCTCACTTATTTTTTAAAGTGTGACTTTAAATTGGGAGGTAAATTGTTTTGAGATTTTTTTCTACATGAAAATCTTTCTGTTAACTTTCCCCTTGATTGATAGTTTGGCTGCATAATAGTTGAGTTTTAAAAGAGTCCTATAATACTTAACTTCATCCTTGTTTTTAAAAATTGTGATCAGTGCCTCTGCCCTCCTTCTATTCAAATCTAAAACTCAGGACATTTTTTATTTTTTGAGAAGGAGTCTTTTTCTCTCGCTCAGGCTGGAGTGCAGAGGCACCATCTTGGCTCACTCCAACCTCCACCTCCCAGGTTTAAGCAATTCTGCTGCCTCAGCCTCCTGAGTAGCTGAGACTACAGGTGTGAATCGCCACACTGGGTAATTTTTTTTTTTTTTTTTTTTTTTTTTTTTTTTTTTTTTAGTAGAGACGGGGTTTCACTGCCTTGGTCAGGCTGATCTCAAATTCCTGACCTCAAGTGACCCTCCTACCTCAGCTTCCCATAGTGCTGGGAATATAGGTGTGAGCCACTGCACCCAGCTGGGACACTTTTTAACTTTAGTGTTTTCTTTCTTTAATCTTATTTTTAAACTGCTTTTTGTTTTAAAAACTCTTTTCCCACCCTATGTACATGTTTACCCATTTCTTTGCTCACTGTTGTTTCTTGTGTTTTATTTCTTTTATCTAGATTTCAGTTTTCTTCTTTCTGAAGTACAGTTTTCAGTAGTGTTTTCATGGAGTGTCAGTGAGTGGTAAACCCTTTTTGTTGCTGTTGAAGAGTCTGCTGTTGTTGAGTTGCTAGAAAGTTTAGCATAGTGATTAAGAGCACGGGTTCTGGTATAAAACAGTCTGAGTTCAAATTCTGGTTCTGTCATTTAGTAGCTTTAAGACTAGGTTAGTCACTTAACCACGCTACCTTAGTTCTGTCATTTACAACATGGGAAAGAAATGTGCCAATTTTATAGAGTTCGGAAGATTGAGATGATAAGAAAAATGCTTAGAGTAGTGATTTAGCATAAAGACAATACTCAGGTAACTATCAAGATTATCTCTTTGTCTTTAACATGTTTCAGTCTTACTTAGCTGTAGATTTAATTCTGTTTATCCTGCATGGGCTTTATCATATATTTTAATGTAATATTGTTTTTCAGCAACTTGGGGAAATTCTTATTCATTATGTCTTCAAATATTGTTCCCCTTCTTTTTCTTTCTGAATATCATTTATATATCATACTCTTAAAAAAATATTGCCCATAACTTTACTTCTGTGTTACATTTTGGATAATTTAATCTTCCAGTTTACATTTCGTGTAGAAAACAGACAAACACAGATAGGGAAATCCTGAAAAAGAAGACTACTAAGGAGTGAGTAGCCAATTAGATTGGAAGTATAACAATGCTACACTAATTGAAAATGTGGTATGGCTCATAAATTGATGGATAGGTAAGTGAAAAAGAATAGAAATTCCAGAAATAGCCTCAAATACATGTAGGAATTTAGTATTTAATGAAGGTCGCTATCTCACAATGCAGGGGAAATAATGGATTCAGTAAAACTGCTAGGAGAAACTGTTAGACATATTTTAAAAATCTAGATGTGGAATAGGCTTCTAAGTATGGTACAAGACCCACAAGCCATCAAAGATTCATACATTTGTCTTTGCAGAAATAAATTTCCGTATGCCAAAAATTGTCTGAAGCAAAGCCAGAAGTCAGAGTTCAATCAGGAAGAATATTTGCAACTGATTGCAAATTAAGGCTGAATTCACCAATAAGCAGTTCTTTAAAGACAGTAAAATTCAGGAGTTAATTTTGCATACATAAAGAATATGGGCATACTTCATAGCAAAGGAAATAAAACAACAAACATATTTTTAAAAGTTTGATCTTATTCATAAGAAAGAGACAGAGCTATACGGAAATACTTTTCTCCTATCAGGTTGGCATAGGTCTGTTACTCTTAATACTGAGTGCGCAGTACAGTTACCTAAGAATCTTTAAAAATATGGATGCCCAGTCTCCAGGCTAACTGACTTAGAGTCTCTCCAAGTATGTCATGGGCATTGGCATTTCTTAAAAGATCCGCAGGATAAGTCCAACATGCTGCTAGCATTGAGAACTACTGGCATAGATTTAAAAGGTGGATAACATACTATGTTAGTGAGGTAGGGGGAAACTGTCCCTCTTGTGCATTACCATTGCATTATGTGTAAATTTTAACAACCTCTATGGTGGGAAATTGGCAGTGCCTATGAAAATTACAAATGCATGTACTTTTTGACCTAACAATTCCCTTCCAGGTATTTCTTTACAGATAGACTCACAAGGTTAACAAGATCACTCACTGTGTGAGATTCCTTTGTACAAGATTACTCACTGTACAAGATTATTTTGTACAAGATTACTCACTGTAGCATTGTTTGCAAAACAAGACTGCAAAGAATCTAAATGTCCATTGTTAGGGAACTGTTCAAACACATTGTGTTACCATGCAATGAAGTACTGTGTGGCTGACAGAGCAGAAGAAAGGTCTTCATGTGCTGATGTGGAATGATTTCTAAAATGTTGAGGGATAAAAGCAGGATGCAGAAATCCGTATTTTGCTATCATTTATGTAAGGAGGAAGAAAATCTATCTCTGTGTATAGGTATAGGATCCTTTTGAAAGATGCACTAGAAATTGCTAACATTATTTGTCTCTGAGAAGGGTAGCTGGATAGCTGGGGGTAGGAGCTGACAGGAGACTTTAAGTTGCACGGGTAGTAAGTGATAGAGCTGGGAGGTTTTTTTAAATATGTACTTTAAGTTCTGAGGTACAGGTGCAGAACCTGCAGGTTTGTTACATAGGTGGTTTGCTGCATCCATCACCCTGTCATCTACATTAGGTAATTCTCCTAATGCTATTCTTCCCCTATTCCCCAACCCCCTGCTATCCCTCCCCTAACCCCCTATCTCCTGACAGGCCCTGGTGTATGATGTTCCCTTCCTTATGTCCATGTGTTTTCATTTTTCAACAACCACTTATGAGTGAGAACATGCGGCATTTGGTTTTCTGTTCTTGTGTCAGTTTGCTGAGAATAATGGTTTCCAGCTTCATCCATGTCCCTGCAAAGGACATGATCTCATCCTTTTTTATGTCTGCATGGTATTCCATGGTGTATATGTGCCACATTTTCTTTATTCAGTCTATCATTAATGGCATTTGGGTTGGCTCCAAGTCTTTGCTATTGTGAACAGTGCTGCAGTAAACATATGTGTGCATATGTCTGTATAATAGAATGATTTATAATCCTTTGGGTGTATACCCAGTAATAGGATTGCTGGGTCAAATGATATTTCTAGTTCTAGATCCTTGTGGATCACCACACTGTCTTCCACAATGGCTGAACTAATTTGCACTCAGAGTTGGGCGTTTTAATATACCTCTTCAGGATTCTAAAGTATATGGGTTTTCTTCCCTCCCCCCACTACAAATAAAAACCATATACTAGGTTTTTAAAATTTTGAAGGTCTATTAACTTTTCGTTAATCAAATATCAGATATGGTACTCATACATACCACAAGCAGTGTTTATTATAGTTGGAGTTTCTTTAAAATGTAGTACTTTGAGATATTTTCAAACTTTAATTGAAATGAATCATTACCTCTGATTTTATTTTTTAAAGCTCTAAACTAGTGGTCATATGCCAATGTAGATTATGCAGTTTACCTATGATTGCATTAATATTTTAGAGGAGAATCTTAGGGAAAACAGCTTTTGTCCCTTATAGGAATTTTAAGTAACTTTTTATTTTTATTTTTAAGGTTTCCATGGGTGAACTATCAAGATGGCAATCTCAACATTTCAATTCCAGTGTTTAGTATTCATGGCAATCATGACGATCCCACGGGGGTAATTATTGTTTTCTTACACTTTGTTGGAATTTTGGAAATGATCAGTTTAGTTTGTGGAAAGCATGCCTCCCTTTTTTCTCATTGTGTAGTTAAATTGGGTCAAAAAGTCAAGCTGACTTTTCACATTCATACAAGCTTTTATGCTGCTTTTTAGATTTTTAAAAAAAATCTTGAATAGGAATTGGTGTATGAGCTATGCTTTTATTTCATTAGTGCTGATGTTAACAATAAGCAGCCAGGAGGAGGAGTGAGCATCTAACATTTGTATATAGCTTTATAGTTTGCCAGTGTTTTCATAACTGTCTTATGAAATCTCACTTTTAGGAAATGATTGTTTCATGAACATCTTTAAATCTGAATTAGATATTCTTACTGCTTGTTTGATATAGAAGTAAGACTAGAGATCCTACACTCAAAGTATCTTTTTGTTTTATCTGGCCATTAATATTATCAATCACTGATTATCTATGGTCTTTTTTTCCCCAGGTTTTAAGAGGTTTGGTTAATATTACAAAGCATTTATCTCATGGCTGATTTTTACTTTTTGTGGCCAAGACATCATGATAAGTTTTGATGAGATGTTAACCTTGCATTTGGCCTGTGATTCCAGTTGCTGTATGTGATTTATAGTACAAAAAATGTAGCAAATATTTTTACAACTATAATTTTGTTTTGAGAAGACACTATCCTCATCTGTGTTTTTGTAAGTAGTGTATGGAGTATGCTTTTAACAGGTAAGAGGATATTCATGCAGATACTTACTTTTATATACACACTAATATTCTTTGAAATTATTTTGTGTAGGCAGATGCACTGTGTGCCCTGGACATTTTAAGTTGTGCTGGATTTGTAAATCACTTTGGACGTTCAATGTCTGTGGAGAAGATAGACATTAGTCCGGTTTTGCTTCAAAAAGGAAGCACAAAGATTGCGCTATATGGTTTAGGTAAGAGAGTTATATTTTACTATTTATGTCCATATATGATTCTTTAAACAATTGAGAAATGAAATTTTGGAGTTGTGTCTGTTTGGAAAAAATGGGGCAAACCTTATTATTCTTTATTGGTGACTATAACAAATGGATGGTTTTGGTAAAAATCTTTGGAGAAAAAATGTTTTCTCCTTACTATTTATTATTTTGAATTTTTTTTAGACTCAGATACAGAATCCTGAATGTTAGAATTATAGAATAATTAGCAAAACTACACTTTGATATCTTGGAAGTCTTCAGTGTACAATACAACTAGCTTATAATTTTGTCCGGTTTTCATAATGCCTCTGGCAAGTAGAAAAGCATCATGGTTATTTATATATTAGAGATAAGGAAAATGAAATCTGGGTGTTATATATGATTCTGCAAGTGATAGAACATATTTTTTTAGAAATATGCTTTTCTAAAAAAAGGTATTAACAGTTGTTTTAATCACTACAGTGTTCATGGGGATCATATTTCCAGAAAAGTTGTCTTTCCTCCTCCATTCAGACTAAGAACAGATTCTATTATGCCTCAGTCACCACCAGAAGCAAGTCTCTTCAGTCATTTATTTTCTCCCAAATTCTTATCTCATCCTGTTCTATTATACCTTCCTTAACTGGACTCTCTCTCCACCCTGTACCCCTCTGTGTGCCCCAGCCCTTCTTTATAAACTCTAGAACTCTTTTTATAATTATCAAATTCCTCATTATTATCAGTGTCTTCTCTGCATGTTGCCTTCACTTTCTAACCTTCAATGAAGCCCAGCTGGCCCCTGAGGTTCCTGTATCCCATGCAGTTCTCTTACCCTTGGCTTTTGGACAGAGATCCCTATCTCTGTTCCCCATGCTCCACCTACCACCTCCTTTTCTGCCTGCAAACACCCCATTCTCTTTAAGCTTATGCCACCTGGCTAAACTGTATTGCTTTTTCTCTCAGACTTTTTACCTACCTACCTAAGATCAATTTTGCCAGTGTTTTCAGTGTTTTAACACTCAAGTAGATTAATCGTCTAGTGCCTTGGGCTTTGTGTGCCTTGACTTTTCTGTCTCCAGTTACATGTTCTGCATTCCACCCCAGCTATTTATTCTTGTAGAATTCTCCTGGGGAGCTAGGCCTCTTCTAGCTCCTAGACTTCTACATTGTTGGCTTTTCTTCTCATACCCTCTCTAATCAGTATATGAAGTAGCAGCATTGTCCACCCCTTAATTCCATAGTGTTAATTTTCCATCTTAGCATCCTGGTGTTTTCTCCTTCTATGATATTTAATATTTATAATCATTTTGTTGACTTTTTGTTAGTTTCCTTCACTAGATCACAGTGAGCCTATGGAATCTGAGAACTGTTTGAAAGTCATTGAATTATGTAAAAAACACCATATATTTTATTTAAAATAATATAAGGATACTGTTTTTAAATACACTTTTTATGATCCCTTTTAATATTTCTATGCATGTTATAATGTATATGTTAGATCAAAAGTATGCAGAATTTATAACAAAGGGATAGTGAAAAACAGTATTACTCGAAGTTTTAATAAGAATTTAGGCATAGAAAACTCAGATTTTTATTCTACATTTTGCTGGTTTTGAACAAACATATGCCTGAAATGGAAAATGTTTTTCAAATGCAATTAACTGCTGTTATCAAAAACCTGGAACAGGTTGGGCACAGTGGTTCACACCTGTAATCCCAGCACAAGGCCAAGGCAGCTAGATCACTTGAGGTCAGGAGTTCAAGACCAGCCTGTCCAACATGGTGCAATTCCATCTCTACCAAAAATGCAAAAATTAGCCAGACATGGTGGTGCATGCCTGTAATCTCAGCAACTCTGGAGGTTGAGACACGAGAATTGCTTGAACCTGGAGGTGGAGGTTGTAGTGAGCCGAGATCACACCACTACACTCCATCCTGGACAATAGAGTGACACTCTGTCTCAAAAAAAAACCCAAAAAACAAACAAACACAAAAAAGCCTGCAACAGCTAGGCATGGTGGCTTATGTCTGTAATCCCAGCACTTTCAGAGGCTGAGGCAAGAGGATTGCTTGAGCCCAGGAGTTTGAGGCCAGCCTGGACAACATTGCAAGACCCTCTCTCAATTAAAAAAAACAAAAAACAAAGAGTAAAAAAAAAAAAAGAACCTGGAACATACCCACTTATAAATGATTCCAGAATTCAGATATATATCTCAAGAGTAAAGTGAAATACTTTGGGAAGCACATAATTTAGAAGCAAAGTAGATTCATTTTTTTAAGCCAAAGTAAGAAAACAATTTAAAAATAATGTAATGTCCATTTCAGGATCCATTCCAGATGAAAGGCTCTATCGAATGTTTGTCAATAAAAAAGTAACAATGTTGAGACCAAAAGAAGATGAGAACTCTTGGTTTAACTTATTTGTGATTCATCAGAACAGGTAAAAGTTTTCTCTGAAAAAGTTTGAGCCGAGTGCTGAGGTTCCAAATCTGTTTCTGAGCAGCTCACCTATTACAGTGAAATGCCCTCAGTTTTTCAAGGTTGTCAGTGCAGAATCAGACAAAATATAAATTTACTTTGTGTGATTTTATTTTGATATCGTTTTTAGTATATATTAATACCTACAAGAGTATTTGTAATATATGGATAAGGCATACCATGAATACTTTTCAATTCAACAAAAAGGTAGAATCTTTTTGTTGAATTATCCATTCCTTTATCCCACTCCTTTTCCCTGATTCCACCTGCTTCCCCATATCCCAAAGGGAAGCATTATTAATTTTGAATTAATCATTTCATTGCTTTTCCTTGCTGTTTAATCACATGTATACCCTTAATTGTATTATGCTATATATTTTACAGCTGACTTACTTTCAGCATTACATTACTGAGATTCATCCATTTTGATGCTTAGAAATGTAATTTATTTTTACTGATGTGTACATTTATGCTTTGCCTCTTGTCAGTGAACAGTTTTTGCTTTTATAAACCTTGCTGTTACGAACATTCTTAGACATGTTTCCTTTTGCCTTTTATGCAAGTTTTCTTCCAGGAACAAATATAGCTAGATTAGCTTTCTTTTGTTAGTAGTTTGAAGAAGTTTAATCTATTGGTAGGGTATAGGATTGATTGAAAGGAAGACAGACTTGAAGAAGCAAGATTTATTATGTGATCACTGCAATAAAAATGTGAGGTGGTGGCAGTGATGGCAGTGAAACAAATGGGAAGGTTACAGCTGAGAAGTTGTCAGGGAAGAACTCAACAGTTTTGGGCCTGATTATATAATTTATTACAGTTGTCCCTTGGTATCCACAGGGGTGTTGAGTCCAGGACCTAAAATCCTGGGATGCTGAAATCCCTTGAATAGATACAGCATTTGCATATGACCTACATATATCCTCCTGTGCACTTTAAATCATCTTTAGATTACTTATTATACCTAATACAGTGTAAATGCTGTGTAAATAGTTGTTATACAATATTGCTTAAAAAATTCATATTGTTTTTTATTGTTGTTTCTTTTTTCCTGAATATTTTTTATCTGTGGTTGGTTGAATCCATGAAACTGCCAATTCAGAGGGCCAGCTATATTTACTGAACACATTTATTGAATGCAAACTACTCTGAGCATTCGATGAATGCAGACTTACGCTAAATACTCAGTAAAAGAAAGGGTTTAGGAGGCTGACTTGTGTTGCCTTATGTGTAAGTTCTTGAACAAACTGTGAGTTTCAAAGGAGTAGCAGGTCAGAGTTTAGATATGTGTGGTCTTCATATAACTTTGCACCATTGGGATTTGTTTCTTCTGTAAAGCTTTCCAGTTCTGCCACTTTTTTTTATACTATGCCAAAGTAGGGATGATGAGTTGAAAGGAAAACTCATAAGTAATTCTAAGAATTCAAGCTAGAATGAAAGGCAGAATGGCAGCATTGGTAAGCGGAATGGGTAGTCACCATATAATGTTTATTTTTCTCATTGTCCCCCTCATCATTTGATTAAGAGGTTGTATAACAGATTTCTCTGCTGTAAAGTTCCAATTTTCCACCTTTCAATTAATAAACATTTTTGGGAAAATACTTTGAGACTATGCAAATACCCTGTTTCACCTTAAACTTACCAATAACTTTAGCATCCATGGGTGACCTTATTTCCAATAATTAACACTGTCATATTTTAATTGTGAATTTTGATTTCCTTCATTCTTTCTGTATTTATTAATGGAATTCTTCTCTAAGGAAAATTTGTCCCTTCTCTGTTTACTTATTTGTTTATGTCATTATGGACTTGAAGATCTAGTACTATCAGCTTTTTAGTTGCTACTTTTCCTCAGATTATTCTAGCTTTGACCTTTGCATTCTCTTTTATGTTGGCTTCTGTGTCTTTTCAACATCTCTCCACCTTTTTGCGGGGTATGACCTTAGCTTTTTGGCACCATAGGATGCTCTAGGCTCTTGTAATGGCAAAAATCACAATTACTTTTGCACCAATCTAATATTTACCTACCTAGCCGTGGAGTCAGCCATTTCTCCAAGGAGCTCTGATTCTTTTTATTGGAGAGTGGTATTTAGAAACCCACAAATGGGTACCAGGTGTGCTTACTGCTACCAGGCTCAGCACTCTTAATGAACAGAGTTAAGGAAATTAATACATGTGTGTATAGCAACCTCATGCATACATACATGTCTATATACGTGTTTAAAAAACCAATAATAAGTTAAGACTGATTCTTATCCAGCCTTACAAGGTCCATTTTTGTCTTTTCCGTTTCCTTATTTGTGACTTCTTTGTCTAACAGAAGTCTGGATCATATTATAAATATATATAATATATTTACTTATTTTTTCAATCCTGGTTTAATTATATGTCCAATCCTGGTATAATTTGAAATTATAAAGTAATTTCAAAATTATGAACTCATACTCCTCTGAAAGACAACTTTCCCAACTAAGTTACAATGTTTATGTAAGTTATTTTAGTCTTTAGCCTTTCTGTATTTAGTCGAAGCATAATTTTCCAAAGTTACTTAGCTCCTTTTCTCCCCATCCCCTTCACTGTGGTTTTGTGATTCTTTGATAATGCCATTAGATTCATTTGTCACCCTGTGCATCCTTAGTTACTTCTTTTGTTACTGCTTTCATGAGAGTTATTAAAAAAAGATTTCCTCAGATTGGGTGAGAATCTTGAGCTTTCTGCATTTTACCTTATTTCACATTTATTTCTCTATATTGACGTTTTTTCTCTTGTTTCAAAGAAAAAAAGAATCTGAGTCTGCAGACAACTTTGTCATGCAAAATCTTTCAACAAGGATGTTTTGATCCCCTCTAGGTCACAAATTACTGTCAGCCTACAAGTATCACCTCTCCTTCTTCTAGGAAAGAGCCAGCAGTCAGTGAAGACCCAATGGCATAATGTTGTATTTGGGAATTAGTCTATTTTTCTTTAGTAGTTGTGATAATCTCATACCTTAGATGTATGTTTTTTACATAAAAACATTACTGGATACACAAACCTGTATATTCTTTGATTTTATTTTCTGTCTTCCCTGCATTTATTCTGCTTAGCCCTTCTGTTCTTGCTGTTTCTTGAACTCACTGAACATACGCCCACTTTAGCACCATCTGCTCTTCTGCCTAGGAATTTCTCTCTTTGTGTACTGATGCTTCATCTCACTTCTCTGCTCATTTGTTGCTAGTCAGAGAGGCCTTTCTTGACTACATGTGTATGTAGAATAGTATGCTACTTCTACGTCACTTTTTCCTTTATTTTTCTTTATAGCACCTATTACTAACTGACAAGTTATACGTGTGCATACATACACACATGCATATACATATTACACTGCAGATTGAGTATCCCTTATCTGAAATGCTTGGGACCAGAAGTGTTTAAGATTTTGGATGTTTTTGGATTTTGGAATATTTGCACATATGTTTTAGAATATTTGCACATATGTTGGGGATAGACCCCAAGTCTAAACGTGGAATTTGTTTACATTTTATATATACCTTATACACATGGCCTTAAGTTAATTTAATACATGTTTTAAAATAATTTTGTGCATGAAACAAAGTTTGTGTTAAGTATTTATGTGTGGAATTTACCTCTTGTGGTGCCATGTTGGCACTTAAAATGTTTTGGGTTTTGGATTTTCAGATTAGGGACTCAACCTGTATTGCTTGTTTCCCACACTGGAACAATGACTTTGTTCACTGCTGTGTCTTCAATATCTAGAAGAAGCCCGGGACATCTGACATAAAGTAGATAGTGTTTGGGTGACATCGTTTGTTGGGTGAATGAAAGAATATTGGTTTGGATTAAGTGAATGCCCAGTTGAAGTATGTGAACACTTTTACTTGAATTTCCAATGATGTAAGTTAATACTAGGGAAAACTATCCCTTTTTGTCTTCCCTCAGCTTGCATTTCATCTATCTTTAAATAATAACTAATCTAAGTATAAGATCATAGTTTGCAAATCATTTATTTAATATTTGATTTTGAAAACTCTTAGTGCTTATGTGAGATTGACATTTTTACTCCCATTAAATTGATTAGTTAAAAGATAATGTTAAGAAATTATTTGACACATTTATACTTACTTAACTCACTTTCATTTTCTGTATTTTTCTTTAGTATATAGTCAGGCTGATTTATAGATTTCTGTTACTGATAGAGTTCATGCTTTTCTGATTAACCAAAGGGGAACTCCTTCCTATGTAAAACCTTTCATGATCTTGCTCCAAAGGTATAATTGACTGCCTTGTCTTAGGGTTTCCACTTGTCTGTGTCCTACAAGTTTGTAAAGCTCTTGAGGTCAGGAATTAGTATTGATAATCTTTACATTCCCAATCCTGTGCACACTTTCTGGTACATAGAAGGATGGAATAAAAGCTTTAGTGAATGGAGAAAGAAAGATCTGTATAGACTTCCATTAATATGAAATTTTTCTAATCACTGAATTTATATTTATTTTTCAAAATCTTGATACAGAAGTAAACATGGAAGTACTAACTTCATTCCAGAACAATTTTTGGATGACTTCATTGATCTTGTTATCTGGGGACATGAACATGAATGTAAAATAGCTCCAACCAAAAATGAACAACAGCTGTTTTATATCTCACAACCTGGAAGCTCAGTGGTTACTTCTCTTTCCCCAGGAGAAGCTGTAAAAAAGTGAGTGATTGTTACATATTTTGAGCCAATTTTTAAGAAATCTTTGCTATAATAACTAATCATCTCATAGGTTTAAGGCTTATGTTAAGGTTACCGCTAACTGGCAGTATTGTTATTTATATGATAGATTTATTTTTGAAAGTTGATCATTCTGTATTGTTTTTCCAGATGTTAAGCCATTTTCAAAAAGAGAATATCCAATTTGTGTTATTTTGCTGCTCATTAGGCAAATTCAAGATGCACATTTTTATTATATTTCCATGCGTTGTTGATGATTACTAATTTCACAAAGTTTATTTATAAAAAATTCTCCTAAAACCATTTAATTGAAAATTTTCTGGTTATAAATGCAATATATAGTATATCATTTTAAAAAAATTTTGGGGGAGTGATGTGATTTTAAATAGTTAACACTGGGCCGGGCGCGGTGGCTCAAGCCTGTAATCCCAGCACTTTGGGAGGCCGAGGCGGGTGGATCACGAGGTCAAGAGATCGAGACCATCCTGGTCAACATGGTGAAACCCCGTCTCTACTAAAAACTTCAAAAAAAAATTAGCTGGGCATGGTGGCACGTGCCTGTAATCCCAGCTACTCAGGAGGCTGAGGCAGGAGAATTGCCTGAACCCAGGAGGTGGAGGTTGCGGTGAGCCGAGATTGCGCCATTGCACTCCAGCCTGGGTAACAAGAGAGAAACCCCGTCTCAAAAAAAAAAAAAAAAAAATAGTTAACACTGATTAAACTCAGTTTTTATTATGGGGTTTATCCTTTGAATCACTTGAGCTCTGATTGTTATAATGATAATAGGGTTAAATCATATGGTCATAGGATCTATTTTCATTGTTTTTTTTTCTTCATGAGTCCACTGCAAAAATCATTGTGTTTATTTGTGTACATATATGTACATATACATAGGTACATAGGTGTAATAGTATAGTCTACATATACTACCATCATAGTCCTGATAAAATTTTATTATACTTATTGTTATGTCTGCCTAGCCTTACAAGACTGACCAGACAAGAATAATATGGATGACTCAGTTTTACTCTGGGGAAGGAAGATGTCTACCATCTTTTCCTGTGATGATAACATTAAGGTTAAATTACCAGAAACGTTTATTTTCAAGAGTATGATTTTATAAATAAACATTTTGTAGAAACTAGGAAATATGATCGCTTTGATGTGCACACGTTCCTGAGGAAATTTACACTGTGACTCGGTGTTCATTTCTCTCATTTCAGACATGTTGGTTTGCTGCGTGTTAAAGGGAGGAAGATGAATATGCAGAAAATTCCTCTTCACACAGTGCGGCAGTTTTTCATGGAGGATATTGTTCTAGCTAATCATCCAGACATTTTTAACCCAGATAATCCTAAAGTAACCCAAGCCATACAAAGCTTCTGTTTGGAGAAGGTAATTCTTTTTGATAAAATCAGTGAAATCTACTTTAGTTGAAGAATTATTCACCTTCAATTAAATAATTTTTCATAGAGTAGAGGGAAGCCTTTATATTGATTATATTCTCATGAAGCCTGTAAGGAACCACTGTTCTTCAGTGAACGTGTTTAATTGTGTCCAAGACATTTTTTAAAGTCATTGAGAGAGGATAATACTGGATGTTAAAAAAAATCTTTATTTAAATTCCACGCCTAGTTTTTTTCTTCCTTTTCAGAAAAATAATACATAATCTTTTTTCCTTTTTTTTTTTTAAATTATACTTTAATTTCTGGGATACATGGGCAGAACCTGCAGGTTTGTTACATAGGTATACACGTGCCATGGTGGTTTGCTGCACCCATCAGCCTGTCATGTACATTAGGTATTTCTTCTAATGCTATCCCTCCCCTAGCTTCCCACCCCCTGACATGTCCCGGTGTGTGATATTCCCCTCTCATGTCCATGTGTTGTCACTATTCAACTCTCACTTATGAGTGAGAACATGCAGTGTTTGATTTTTTGTTCCTGTGTTAGTTTGCTGAGAATGACGGTTTCCAGCTTCATCCAGGTTCCTGCATGAACTCATCCTTTTTTATGGCTGCATAGTATTCCATGGTGAATATGTGCCATATTTATGCAGTCTATCACTGATGGGCATTTGGCTTGGTTCTAAGTCTCTGCTGTTGTGAATAGTGCTGCAATAAACATGTGTGCGTGCGTCTTTATAATAATCTTTTGTGTATATACCCAGTAATGGAATTGCTGAGTCAAATGATATTTCTGGTTCTAGATCATTAAGGAATTGCCACACTGTCTTCCACAATAGTTGAACTAATTTACACTCCCATCAGCAGTGTAAAAGCATTCCTATTTCTCCATATCCTCTCCAGCATCTGTTGTTTCCTGACTTTTTAATGATCGCCATTCTAACTGGTGTGAGATGGCATCTCATTGTGGTTTTGATTTGCATTTCTCTAATAAACAGTGATGATGAGCTTTTTTACAGATGTTTGTTGACCACATAAATGCCTTCTTTTGAGAAGTGTCCATTCATATCCTTTGCCCACTTTTTGATGGGGTTGTTTTTTTCTTGTAAATTTAAGTTCTTTTTAGATTCTGCATATTGGCCCTTTGTCAGATGGATAGATGGCCAAATTTTCTCCCATTCTGTAGGTTTCCTGTTTACTTTGAAGATAGTTTTTTTTTTTTTTTTCTGTGCAGAAGCTCTTTAGTTTAATTACATTCCATCCGTCAATTTTGGCTTTTGTTGCCATTTCTTTTGGTGTTTTAGTCATGAAGTCTTTACCTATGCCTATGTCCTGAATGGTATTGTCTAGATTTTCTTCTAGGGTTTTTAGGGTTCCAGGTTTTAATGTTTAACTCTTTAATTCACCTTGAGTTAATTTTTGTATAAGGTGTAAGGAAGGGGTCCAATTTCGGTTTTCTGCATATGGCCAGCCAGTTTTCTCAACACCATTTATTAAATAGGGAATACTTTTCCCATTGCTTGTTTTTATCAGGTTTGTCAAAGATCAGATGGTTGTAGATGTGTGGTGTTCATTCGAGTCCTCAGTTCTGTTCAATTTGTCTATATCTCTGTTTTGGTACCAGTACCATGCTGTTTTGATTACTGTAGCCTTGTAGTATAGTTTGAAGTCAGGTTGTGTGATGCCTCCAGCTTTGTTCTTTTGCTTAGAATTGACTTGGCTCTGTGGGCTCTCTTTCGGTTCCATATGAAATTTAAGGTGGTTTTTTTTCTAATTCTGTGAAGAAAGTAAGTGGTATCTTGATGGGGATAGCATTGAATCTATAAATTACTTTGGACAGTATGGCCATTTTCATGATATTGATTCTTCCTTTTCATGAGCATGGAATGTTTTTCCACTTGTTTAAGCCCCCTCTTAATTTCCTTGAGCAGTGGTTTGTAGCTCTCCTTGAAGATGTCCTTCACATTTCTTGTAAGTTGTATTCTTAGGCATTTTATTCTCTTTGTAGCTGTTGTGAATGGGAGTTCAGTCATGATTTGGCTCTCTATTATTGGTGTATAGGAATGCTTGTGATTTTTGCACATTAATTTTGAAACCTTGCCGAAGTTGCTTATCAGTTTCAGATTTTGGGTTGAGATAATGGGATTTTCTAAATATACAGTCCTGTCATCTGCAAAGAGAGACAGTTTGACTTCCTCTCTTCCTATTTGAATACCCTTTATTTCTTACTCTTGCTTGATTACCCTGGCCAGAACTTCCAATACTATGTTGAGTAGGAGTGGTGAGAGAGGGCATCTTTGTCTAGTGCCAGTTTTCAAATGGAATGATTCCGGCTTTTGCTCGTTCAGTATGATATTGGCTGTGGGTCTGTTATAAATAGCTCTTATTATTTTGAGATCCATTCCATCAATACCTAGCTTGTTGAGGGTTTTTAGCATGAAGAGGTGTAATTTTGTTGAAGGCCTTTTCTCCGTCTATTGAGATAATCATGTGGTTTTTGTCATTGGTTTTGTTTATGTGATGGATTATGTTTATTGATTTGCATATGTTGAACCAGCCTTGCATCCCAGAGATGAAGCTGACTTGATAATGGTGGATAAGCTTTTTGATGTGCTGCTGTATTTTGTTTGCCAATATTTTATTGATGATTTTTGCATCGATGTTCATCAAGGATATTGGCCTGAAATTTTATTTTTTGATAGTGTCTCTGCTAGGTTTTGGTAACAGGTTGATGCTAGCCTCATAAAATGAGTTAGGGAGGATTCTCTCTTTTTCCATTGTTTGGAATAGCTTTAGAAGGAATGGTACCAGCTCCTCTTTGTACCTCTGGTAGAGTTCGGTTGTGAATCCTTCTGGTCCTGGGCTTTTTTGGTTGGTAGGCTATTAATTACTGCCTCAATTTCAGACCTTGTTATTGATCTATTCAGGGATTTGACTTCTTCCTGGTTCAGTCTTGGGAGGGTGTATGTATCCAGGCATTTATCCATTTCTTCTAGATTTTCTAGTTTATTTGCATAGAGGTGCTTGTAGTATTCTCTGACGGTAGTTTGTATTTCTGTTTTTTTTCTTCTTTATTAGACTGGCTAGCGGTCTATCTATTTTGTTAATCTTTTCAGAAAACCAGTTCCTGGATTCATTTATTTTTTTTTGAAGCATTTTTCTTGTCTCTATCTCCTTCGGTTCTGCTCTCATCTTATTTCTTGTCTTCTACTAGCATCTGAATTTATTTATTCTTGCTTCTCTAATTATTTTAATTGTGATGCTAGGATGTCGATTATAGATCCTTCCCGCTTTCTTCTTTTAGAGATAGAGATGCCCTGCCCAGAGAGAAGGAATCTAGAGAGGCAGTCCGGGTACAGCAGCTTTGCCAAGCTGCGGTGGGCTCTGCCCAGTTTAAACTTCCAGATAGGTCTGTTTACACTGTGAGGGGAAAACCACCTATTCAAGCCTAAGTAATGCAGACGCCCATACTCCTACTAAGCTCAAGTGTCCCAGGTCCACTCCAGACTGCTATGCTGGCATCGAGAATTTCAAGCCAGTGGATCTTAGCTTGCTGGGCTCAGTGGGGGTGGTATCTGCTGAGCTAGACCACTTGGCTCCCTGGCTTCAGCACGTTTTCCAGGGAGCGACCAGTTCTGTCTTGATGGTGTTGGAGGTGCCACTGGGATATGAAAAAAACTCCTACAGCTAGCTCAGTATCTGCCCAAACAGCTGCCCAATTTTGTGCTTGAAACCCAGGCCCTGGTGGTATAGGCACCCAGGGTTATCTCCTGGTCTGCAGGTTACAAAGACCTTGGGAAAAGCATAGTATCTGGGCCGGAGTGCACCATTCGTCACAGCACAGTCCCTCACGGCTTCCCTTGGCTAGGGGAGGGAGTTTCCCTACCCCTTCCGCTTCCCAGGTGTAGCAGTGCCCCACCCTGCTTCTGCCTGCCCTCTTTGGGCTGCATCCACAGTCTAAACAGTCCCAATGGGATGAGCTGGGTACCTCAGTTGGAAATGCAGAAATCACCCACTTTCTGTGTTGATCTCGCTGGGAGCTGCAGACTGTAGCTGTTGCTATTCGGCCATCTTGAGAAATATGCTTTTCTCCTTTTGAATCTTGATTTGATGATTTGTTCATTTTATTTATGAAAGCAGGCAGTGACTTTGACTGAGAAATGAAAGAATATTGTGTGTGGGAAAAGCCTTAGTCTCTAATAATCTGTATTAGGTGTCCCTTTTGACCTGAAAGCTACCCCAAATAAAATGTGAAAAATATGTTTGCTATGCACCCTCTTGCAGCAAAGTAAGTCCCAAACCTCCCTCTCTATGCAGATTTCTGCCCCTAAATCTCTGTAGAAAATCGAGCCACTACTGAGGTTGGGTAGATGAATCCATTTAATAATAATACATGGGTTGACAGCTTAATTAGTACCATTTGCCGACACTCAGTTCTTGCTCTCTGTCAGCTGTCCTATTTTATGTTTTATTTTCGTGAAAAATCATGTAATATAGTAACAATGATAATAATTATGCCCAGTGATATTTACTGACTTTATGTGAGGTGCACCATTGACAGCATTTAATCTAGCCAACAATGCTTTATGTGGATAGGTTCTACTATCTATAGTTTATAGGAACTGAACCTTAGATAAGGTGACTCATTCAGTGTTACAGGTTTATGAGCAATATGTAGCTAACGTAGCTAAAGTGTGTGCTGGTTTCAAGATGATTGACTCCAAACTCAAACGTAGGTTAAAACTCCCAAATCTCCCTAAATCCAATCTCTGAAGCCAGAAAGATAGGAAATGCATTAATTGCTTTTCCACTGACTGATCCAGGCCTGAGTCATGTGCCCTTTCCTGAAGTCAGCCCAGGGTTTCTCGACCTTGGCTTAGTTGACATTTTTAACTAACAATTCTTTGTTGTGGGAGGCAGTTCTGTGCACTATGGGATGTTTAGCAGTTTTCTCTGTAGTCTGTACCCACTAGATGCCAGTAGTACCCCTTCTAACTGGAAACGACAATCAAACATGTTTACAGACCTTGCCAAATGTCCTTAGAGAAGCAAAATCACCTCTGGTTGAGGTCCACTGGATGAACTTCTAAATTCTGTGGGCTTTGGTAACATAAATCCAGATGCTGGCGACATAAAAGTAATAGAGGTTCATTTTAAACACCAGAGGTGCATATAACTTTCTGTTTTCTCTGTATTTTATGTACATTTCTATTATTATACTTTGGTAAGTTATATTATTATTTATAAGCATGTGAATCTCTTCTGAACTCTGAGGACAGGCCCCATATCTTTCTTTTCTGTCTCAGCACTGGACCTAGTACCTGGCAAAAAGATGCTCTGTAAATGCTTGTTGAATTGAAATAATTGACCTAGGAGATCATGTTCTTATAGATCTCTGTGCTGTCTGATATGGTAGTCACTAGCACATGTGGCTACTTACATGTGATTAATTAAATTTAGATTTAAAATTTAGTTTCTCACTTGTACTACCCACATTTCAAGTATTTTATATCTACATAACCATATTGAATATGCACATATAAAAAAATCATTGCAGAAAGTTATTTTAGACTTCATTGTTACAGATAATTTAAAGGACAAGATTATAAAATCTAGATGTGAAAGAAATCTGAGGACAAAAGCAGCCTTTCTATATTGTTCTTGAAATCAGAACCAAGTTATAAGAAGGCAGTTTTTGTTCCAACACAGGAACTTCCTAAGAACTAGAATTGTTCAACTATGAAGTTGGCCTGAAGATAGCTAATCACTGTGCACACAACAATTTGTGAAAAGAATCTAATACTGTCTCCTTGTAACTTGGTCTTCCCCTTAAGAACAATATAGAACAAGTGCTTTTGTCTTCAGATCTCTTACAAGTCTAAGATGTTATTATCTTGTCCTCTCAGAGTATGAGATAAATCCAGATATTTGAAAACATCAGTCTTCTTTTCTTTTACCTTGAACTCTTCCAAGATAAATAATCCAAAGTCCTTGCTTATAGATCCCTAAATATTCTGGTGAGCCTCCCATGGATCATATGACTGAAAAACTAAACTTACTTGGTTTTAATTTGGTAAGATGAGGGAAGCCTTCTTGAAACATGAGTAGAAAATTGAAACATGAGTAGTAGTATTTTAAATTTGATTCTAAAATAGAGATTGAAAAATTATTAAAAACTTTCATGAAAGAAAAACATTAAGAAATAGTATTAAAGGAGCATTACAAGAAGGTATATTTTAAAAGGTGTCATAAGTGACCTAAGAAATAAAGATGATTATGTAGTTCAGGAAAATTCCTGTGATTTTAAGCTGCTATTTAGCCAAGTTAAACTATATTTACCACTTTGTTTTTTAATTTTTAAAATTAAAAATTTTGAGATTGAAGAAATGCTTGAAAATGCTGAACGGGAACGTCTGGGGAATTCTCACCAGCCAGAGAAGCCTCTTGTACGACTACGAGTAAGTCCTATTTATACAAATTGAACATTATTAATTTTCAGAGCATAGTAATGTACAGTTTACATGGTTTCTTTGAAAAGTAGTGAGGAGAGTGCTCGTAATAAGACAAGCAATCACCATTGGAGACAAAAGCAAAGGTATAGGGATTTGAGTTAATCACAGTTTAAGTGATAGGTGTGGTAACTTATTTTTCTCGTTTTCTTTATAATTTGTTGTTATATTTAATAGATTGGCTGAGCTCTCTGACTTCATCTTTAACTACCCTCCTCTACTCAGTTCATTCCAGTCTCCTTGGCCTTTTTGCACTTTCTCGGGCATATGGGACCTGCTCTTATCTCCCTTTAGTCTGCCCCCATGTCACCTCGCTGAGGCTTCACCATCAAGATTGCAGCCCCTACCTTTTTTCTGGTGCTTCTGATTTCACTTACCTTCTTCTGCTTCCGCTTTTCTTCTTATTTTTTTCCTATAACACATCCTTCTAATCTACTTTGTACAGTTTATTTGTTTTGGTTATTGTTTAGATTATTTCCTGTACCTATAAATCTGCATATCCTTTCTATCATGTTAAAGAAACACAACACTTTGCCACTATGCTCTTCCCTTTTCCTAACACCTACCCCGTCTTACTCTCTTTCAAAGCCCCTAAAAGTATGTAACCTATAGCTGTCATCTAACTTTCTCCTCCTCGGTTCACTATAACCAAGGCTCTGATTTCATAGCCAGTGGAAAAGATGATCTTTAATTGTTAAATCGTGTCTCATCTTGCTGAATTACTCTTGGGCATTCTCTGAATTATTTGTATCCCATCCTATCTCATCGTTAGCCCCCTTTTCAGTCTAAGCATACAGGTTTAATGACCACCAATAGAGTGATGGCTTCTAAGTCTTTATTTAGACTTCCTTGTTGTTCTGTATCTGCAAGGGCCCCCTAAAGCCTGGTACTGAGGAGTGTAGTCTTTAGATCAGCAGTGTTGTTGTCACCTGGGAAATTTTTTAAAATGCAGAGTCTCAGGCCCTGCATCAGACCCACTGTATTTTAACAAAAATCTCCAAGAAATGTATATGCACATTAAAATTTGAGAAGTCCTGGGACGTAGACTATAGAGGTAAAGAGTACAATCTAGAGCCAGACTTCCTGAGCTTCATTCTGGCCCAACCACCAGTTGTATGACCTCAAGCAACTGCATCTCTCATCCCTTGGTTTGCATTAGGTTGGTGCAAAAGTTTTTGCAGGTTTTGTCATTGAAAGTAATGGCAAAAACTGCAGTTATTTCTGCACTACCCTAATGCTTCATAGATTTATGAGGTCTAAATGGATTAAATAGTGTCTGGTACACAATAGCTAAATCTGGTCCCTTGTCTTTATCCCACTGTCACTGGTGTAGTGAAGCCTTTATTAATGCTTCCTGGCCTATTGCTGCAGCCTCCTACCCGGACTGTGTCTCAGTTTCCTTCTCTCTCTACACTAATGCCAAAATGCTCTTTATAAAACACAGTTTTGCATGTCTTTTCTGCTAAAAAATAACTTAATTATTCCCTAGCACTAACAAGAAAGAGTCTAAACTTTTTAGGGTAGCGTTCTTGGGTCTGCGTGATCTGTTCTAAACCAAACATTTTAGCTACTCCTTTTCCTCCCGTCACATCCTGAACTCCAGTCTCATTGGACCAAAAGCTTCTCTTTCTTGGGTGCAGTGGAGTTTATTTCACTGGAACCTTTGTCCATGTGATCCTGCTGCATGGGACATACTTCTCTCCTCCTTTCTATCTTCTTCAGTACCCACCTAAAGCCTCCCTCTTTAAAGAAGGCTTTTTTGACCTCCCCCCAGAGTACATGCTTCTTCCTTTGTGTTCTCATTCAACTTCGTACATACCTTTTGTAGCACCACTCACATTCTGCTTGCAGTCATCTGTTGACATGTTTATCTTCCCAGTCAGCTTATGAATTTCTTGACAGCCAGGATTGTATTTATTTGTTGTTATATCCCTGGCTCTGAGCAGCATATCTAGAACATTGAGGATATCTGGTAAAATTTGTTAATGACCAAACATTTATAAATGAGGAGTTTGAGAGGGAGACCTAATAGCTTTAGCATTTAGTATTTTCTCTTTTATAGCATGGTAGCTGTAGCGATGGTCTGGGTGAGGCCAGGCACAGTGGCTCATGGCTGTAATCCCAGCACTTTCGGAGGGCTAGGCATCTGAATCATCAGAGGTCAGGAGTTTGAGATCAGCACGGGCAACATGGTGAAACACTGTCTTTACTAAAAATACAAAAATTAGCCAGGTATGGTGGCATGTGCCTGTAATCCCAACTGCTTGGGAGGCTGAAGCATGATAATCACTTGAACCTAGGAGGTAGAGGTTGCATTGAGCCGAGATTGCACCATTGCACTCCAGACTGGGCAACAGAGTGAGACGCGATCTCAGAAAAAAAAAAGAAGAGATGATCTGGGTAATACAAAAATAATTACTATAAGGGAATCACGTAGTTCTCTTCACCGTGGCAAAATGTCCCTATTTTCTCATCTTTGTCTGCCTGGTAGCATTAGAACTAACTAGACTTAAATAGAAAATTGGCATTTCTTTTCCTAAGCATGATAAATTACGAATTTATTCATAAAACAGCACATATTGTCATATAAGTAATATTACAATACTACATTGTACTGACTAAAGGATATTCATGGATTCATTGGATAAATCCTATTAAGTACCTTCTGTTATGGATGCTGCAGGATACAGGGACAATAAAACAGATGAGATTTTGAATTCGTAGAGCTTATAGGAGGTGGAGGTGTGAAGAGAGACATAATGTACAAATAACAAATAAATGAAGAAAAAACCTTAGCAGATAGTGATGATGAGTGAAAGTGGGAGCACTTTAGTTAGAGAGCTCTCTGGATAAGCTGTGAGGTGGTGCAGTGCTGGTCCCCAGAGAATACTTTGAGAACAGCTAGTTTAGGAGAACATATCTCTGAGAAAGAAAGGTGGTATTTCTCTTTGTAAAGGCTTGTTTACCACTGTAGTCTTCTGTAGAAAGAGCCTACCTTGAGAGAAATTGTCAGTTTCAGTAAGATACCATGTTTTGAAGGTAATCATTTCTTAAGGCTCACAGATATCATTCTTCTTACCTGGATTTTCCTAGCATTCATCTTTCTGTAGTGTGAAGGCATATCTCTAAGATGATAGACCAATTTACTAATGTATCTAGGGCTAGTATTTTATTTTGGTGTTTGTTTGTTTTAAAAGTTCAGGAGATTGTGTAGAAATCCTCTCTCCTTTTCAAATGGTTTGCATGGTAGGTACCTAAACTATTAGTGTTATACATAATCATTCTGCATTGTGGAAATTATTGCCATACCTCGATTGTATCCAACAAAGTATTTTGCTTAGGCTTATAAACTTTTCAAGTGTTAGTTTCTCAATAGGATAAATGATATAGCTCCATCATGATCTATTGTAGAAAATTAATTCATAAATTTGAAAGTATCAAGCATAAACACTGAATGCTGAAGGATTAGTCCGTTTCTTAAAAATTGGCAAATTGTTGTTTCTTAGTCTTCATAGCTTATTCTTTGTTTTCAGGTGGACTATAGTGGAGGTTTTGAACCTTTCAATGTTCTTCGCTTTAGCCAGAAATTTGTGGATCGGGTAGCTAATCCAAAAGACGTTATCCATTTCTTCAGGCATAGAGAACAAAAGGAAAAAACAGGTAAGCTAGTTATTTTTACAGGTTAAAAAATGCTCTTACAGGATTTGTGAATAAATCTTTAGTAGAAACTGTAACATAGTAATGAAAGATGTTTTTATATGATTGTAATGTCTTAAACAAATAAACTGACAGTTGGAATAATTAAGTCTCTTGTCTTCTAAAAATTACATAGCAGTCATTCTTAAACCTGTGGATATCAATAAAGAAATGGAAGACTTTCTCTGTAAACAATGTGTTTTTTTAAACAGTCCTGCTAAGTAATAACACAGACTTCAGAGATTTACTGCTCAAAATAAATATGCATTACTTAATATATATTATTAATGTTCAGAAAATGTACTCTCAATTTTTGCATTATTAAGTATTTTGACCTTCAAGTATACAGTGATTTAGGATGACTTCAGACTTTGGAAATAAGAGTTGTTTTTTAATTTGATATTTCTGATGATCCAGATAATTAATTTCCAATTAAATTTCACAAAAACTAATTCCTCTTTTTTTAGCATTTATAAAACAGGGTCACAGCCAGGCATGGTGGCTCATGCCTGTAATCTCAGCACTTTGGGAGGCCAAGGCGGGTTGCTCATGAGATCAGGAGTTTGAGACCAGCCTGACCAACATGGCGAAACACCATCTCTACTAAAAATACAAAAATTAGCCAGCGTGCTGGCACGCACCTGTAATCCTAGCTACTCAGGAGGTTGAGGCAGGAGAATCCATTGACCCTGGGAGGCGGAGGTTGCAGTGAGCTGAGATTGTGCCACTGCACTCCAGCTTGGGTGACAGAATGAGACTCTGTCTCAAAAAAAAAAAAAAGGGTCATCTGACTGAAATAGTGCTTTTTCATAAGAAGTACTGTACATGTGAAATAAAGAGACTCTTATTAGAGTTATTGAGTCAGAGAATTTTTATAGAAATGTATGGCTCTTGTTTACAAGTAAGCTACCTAGCTTTTTATGAACCTAAATTTAATGGGCTTCTATTTTTGCTGTCAAATTATAATCAGATATTGGGTATGCTGTGAATTCAACCTGAAACAATCATTCAGATATTCAAGTAGCGCTCATATAATACTGCTTTAGGAGGGTGAAATCCATATCAGAGAATTATATTTTTGTGTTACAAGTTTGATTTAGTTGTTTCTTGATAATGGTTTATTTCTGTTTTGCAATAGATTATGCATCTACATCAATTGCTTGAAATTTTATGGGTATAACGTTTAGAAGAAAAACAGAATACATAACTAGAATATACAAATATCTTTCAAGAGTTTCATCTGTAGTGAGTTTTGTTCTAGCGATTTCTAAAATTTTGTGTAAACCCAAGTTGCTCAGTGGAAACAATGGCATTTTTGTGTGTTTTATTGAAAGCATTTTCTGTTGCTTTGCCAGCTCTGCTACTTAACTACACCATGCAAATTACTAAACCTCTGCTAAGTTTTCTCATCTCTAAAATCAGGCTAAGAAGTATCCTGGTCTCACAGGATTGTTGTGAGGATTAGATGATACACTGTGTGTAAATGTTCTTAACGTAGTGTCTGGAATAGTAAAATGTAGTAATCATGTTTATTTAGTAATATTAACTCTCCTGCTTTGAAATTCAAAAGAGATTTTTGTTCACCTGTCCTGCCATTTGACAAGAAAAACAGTGAACTCTGTGTCTCGTTCCCTTCTAGGTCTTTTCTGCCTGAAATTTTTTTCTCCCTGGTTTGCTCAGTGAATGTTAATCATTCTGCAAGTCTTGATTCAAATGACAGCTGCATTTGATACCTATACGTGATTTTCTGCCTTCTTTGAGAAGAATTAATTGCTTTCTTCTCTATGTGTTATATTCTTGGGAGCACTTACCACCTTGTATTGTAGTCATTTTTCTTATGGGCAGGGATTCTATCTTTTTCATCATTGGATTTTTAACACTTGTAGATGCTTGACATTCATTTACCTGACAAGGGTTATTGGCAGAGCAAATACAGGACTCCACGCTTCCTAACTTCATACCCAGTGCTCTTTCTAGTGTGTGCCTACTGGTTTTGAGACATTCATCTTGCTTTGTAATGCAGCAGAAGTGCATTAAACATACTTCCCCTTTGTCTCACAGGATGTTAAAAAGATATGTGCTCAAGGGCAGAGATTTAGTTAAATTAATAATTTTAACCGTTAAATCAGGGACATTCTTAAGTGAAAGTGGCTTGTTGTATATTGGGTTATGAGTACATGGTCGTGACTACTATTTGTAGTAGAGTTTTGTGCTACTGCCTTGACCCATCGCAAGGCACGAGCAGTACCCACGATGGCTTTTTCATCATCAGTGTAACAATGATGGCAGACAGCAAAAAGGCAAATAACATCTTAGGACTATTATGAAAGTATTTTTGACATTATTACCCCTGAAAGGGACTTGAGGACCTCCAGAAATCTGTGCTTCACCCGGTGAGAACAGCTGCAAGAGACTTTTTACCTGGAGTACAGACAAGGAATACTGACTGTAGGGAAAAGGCCATGGCTATTAACAAAAATGGCTTGTTTTGCCTGAAAACTTACCATGTTGAGCAAGCTGGCCGTTGGTAAAGTTCGGCCTTACCTTCTCCACTGACAACTTGGAATGAGTGTGGCCGCTTTAACATTATGATAGAAGGTTTTTTTTTTATATACTGCTTTTTTTCTAGGAGAAGAGATCAACTTTGGGAAACTTATCACAAAACCTTCTTCAGAAGGAACAACTTTAAGGGTAGAAGACCTTGTAAAACAGTATTTTCAAACCGCAGAGAAGGTAATATTCTTACAGTTCACATTTTGAATAATGGCTACCTTATAGTAACAGATTTTAATATAGGATATGTTTAGTTGATAGTTTAAACAAAATGAATCCTCAAAATGTTTCTATGAGGTAAGTAGGGTGACAATTACATTCAATTGCGGTTGCTGCACAGCAGGGAAAATTAGTGTTTAATTAATGTTATGAATACCGTTATTAATGTAGCCATTATTGTTGATGTTATTCTCTTTGTCTCTCTGTTGCAATTATTAAACTAAATGAATAAACTGTTAAATCAGGGACATTCGTAAGAGAAACTTAGAAGTAAGTAGGGTGACAATTCATTTGTAGTTGCTGCACACCAAAAAAAATTAGTGTTTAATTAGTGTTAACTATGAATACCATTATTAACATAACTGTTATTGTTGATGTTGTTATTCTCTTATTTTATTTTGTGTCTCTGTTGCAAAGGTCTCAATCCAGATTTAGTTTTCTCATATTTGGATGTAATTAGAATTCTGCAAACAAAGACAGCCAAATGATGGTGAAGCCAGTGAAACTTAACTGTCATGAGTATATGCCACTCTAAGGTCCTTGGGTTGTATTAGTTTCCTATTGGTGCTGAAACAGATTTCCACAAACTTAGTGGTTTAAAACAACACAAATTTATTATCTTACAGTCGTGTAGGTCAGAAATTTTACACAGGACTGAAATCAAGGTTTTGGCATGACTGTCTTCCTTTTTGGAGGGTCTAAGGGAGAATCTATTTCCTTACCTTTTCCAGTTTCTAGAGGTACCTCCTTCATTCCTTGGCTCTTGGTCCCCTTTTATCTTCAAATCCCGCAATGTTGTCTCTCTCTAACCATTTCCCCACAGTTATTTTTCCTTTCAGCTCCCATCTGCCTCTGTCTTCTGCTTTTCAGGACCCTGGTGATTACACTGGGCCCACCTGGATAGTCTCTGATAATCTCCCTATTTTACAGACAACTGATTAGCACCCTTAGTTCCTCTTCGCCATGTATCACAGGTCCCAGAGATTAAGAAGTGGACATATATATGGTGCTTTTGTTTTGCCAACCACACTGGTTAATTTCATTGTTAATCATAGCTGCCGTTTTTGGACCCAGTATCCCAGCCATCAGGCCTCTACATTTTACCAGTCCTGTATTTTTTTCCCTGATAACATATTCAGTAATTTTCCTTGCAGTATAGGTGCTATTTCTGCATCCAGTGATTTTGTATGTCTCTTACAGAATGTGCAGCTCTCACTACTAACAGAAAGAGGGATGGGTGAAGCAGTACAAGAATTTGTGGACAAGGAGGAGAAAGATGCCATTGAGGAATTAGTGAAATACCAGTTGGAAAAAACACAGCGATTTCTTAAAGAACGTCATATTGATGTCCTAGAAGACAAAATCGATGAGGAGGTAGGTAACTAATTTGAGTATCTAGGTCAATTTAAATATTCTCTATTTAAGAGTAGCTCTGGGATTTTTTTCTCGGGTAAATCACTTTTTAACCTTTCTGATTTGTTTGGTTTTCATATCTATAAAATTGAAATAATAAAATGAAGATTAAATTAGGCAATGAAGAAAATGCCTACAACAGAGTCTTGCATATGGTTGGTACTAAATAAGTGTTTTGTTCCCTGTGGATAGTATCATCTGTTGAAGATCCTGAAAGGACTTTAAAATGAACTTGTAGCATGGTAATTTCTGTTCATTTTAATTTTTTAGTAAGTTTTGATTGAGATCTTGAATTTCATCTAGAAAATTTTTTCTAACCAAGAAGCAGTGGAATAATCACAGGAAAAGCTGTCTGGACTTGACTACATAGAAATTTTAAATGTTTGCGTATCACATTGCCAAGAAACAAAATTAAAAGATATGAAGAAAATATTTGTATGTGGGCAGAAAAAAGATTAATATTTTTAATATGATATTAATGAGCTCTTAGGAATCTTAAAAATAATTAAACATTTTGATAGAAAAATGAACAGAGGACATGAATAGGTGGTTCATAAAAGAATTATAAATGGCTAATAAGCATATGAAAATGGTGTTTAGCCTAGGATAGTCAAAGAAACTCGAATACATCTTTTGTTTGTCAAATTGGCAGCAATTTGAGAAAATAGTATCTAGCACACTGCTGGTAGGAGCATAACATTTCAACAGCTTTACTGAAAAGCAGCTTGGCAGTGTATATTAAGAGGCTTAAGTTTTACCCTTTAACTCAGCCTGGTAAATTTCCATACAAAAATCGTGAGGTAGAGATTTGTGTATGGAGTGATTCATCTTAGCGTTGTTTATAGTGGGGAATAATTGGAAATGGATACAATAAATGTTGGCACGTATACCATATAAAATTTTACACAGTGCTTAAAAATAACATTTTGGAAGAAGAACATGAGAAGATATTTCTAAGATAATGTTAAGTGGGAAGAGAATTTCAAAGATGAAAAACTGTGAATAGTATGATGTCAATTATTTTTATTTTATATGTAATTGTGTATGTTTATGTAAAAAAAGAAAATATCCCAGATATATTATCAACAGTTATGTCAAGGTAGTTGTATTACAGGGAATCACTTTCTCTATTTTCCTAATTCCCCCTAAGCAGAAGAATAAAACAGTATCATTTAAAAGAAAACAAACTCATTCCCTTATTTTAGTGCTTTTGGTTAAAATGGTTCTCTTAAAGCCTTATGGTGCCAATGTGTAACTAATATTATTTAATGCCAAGTACTTCCAGAGGTAGGACAGGCAGTTCACACTCTTAAAACCATTCACTCTATGACTGTGGATATGTAGGGTTTGCCAATTTATAGCATAAATAGATTTCTCAGGTACCTACCAGAAATAAAATATGACCATCCCCACCTGGAGTGACATTATGACTCCTGAGCAGCAAAGTGTCTGTGTGGTGCGTGCGTGTGTGTGTGTGTGTGTGTGTGTGTGTGTGTGTCATGGTTGCTCTGGACCAGACCAACTGAGTAGCAAAGTGTGTGTGTGGTGTGTGTGGGGGGGAGAGTGTGTGTGATGTGTATGTGGGTATGTGTATATGGTGTATGTGTATGGTGTGTGTGTGTGTGTGTGTGTGTGTGTGTGTGTGTGTGAGTCATGGTTGCTCTGGACCAGACCAACTGTGTTCAAAATCAAAACACTTATTAGCTGTGTACCCATTATTGAGTTATCTAAGCCCACCTATCCCTCAGTATCCTTATCTGAGGATAAAATGGTGATGATAATAGGTCCTCCTTCAAGATTGCTGTAAACATTAAAAGAATTAATCCATGTAGAATTCTTAGAATACGGTCTGACCCCTAGGGCCTGTTCATTGTTTTTACTCTGACTCTCATTTCCCTTCTGTGAATGGCTTAGCACCTTTGGTATGCTACAGATCACCTAGGGCAGTATTACATACTATGTCATCTTTTAAAATGTTTTTATTCTTGTGTTTTTCCTCTATCAATCATAACAAACATGCTTTCATTTCCTTCAGCTTAAGAAACAAACAAAACTCTCAATCCCATTTTCCTTTACTGCTCTGTTTCTTTGTTCCTCTTCTAGAGCAGCATCGCTTCAAAGAGTTTTCTGTATTTGCTGCCTCATTCTTCTCTCTCCTTTTTCTCTTGAATCTATCCACTCAGGATTTTGATCCCATCGTTCCAGTGAAGTTGCTCTTGTCAAGGTCACCAGGGACTGCGATTGCTAAATCCACCGTCAGTTTTTTATCTTACATCTCACTCAACCTTCTCTTGAAACAGTTATTTGCTGGATTTCAAGATACCAGACGCTTCTTGTTTTCTTCCTGCCTCACTGGCTGCATATTTTCAGTGTCTTTTGTTGATTCCTCTAATTGCTCCAGCCCCTTACATTGGAATCTTAGTTACTGTTCCCTGTCTCATGTATACACTCGATCATAGATTTCATGAGAGCAGGTTTTTGTCTGTTTTGTTAATAACTGTATTCTCAGTTTCTATGATAGTGCATGGCACATAGAAGGTGCTCAGTAAATATGTGCTGAGTAGATAATTTAAATAAATGGGCTTGTCTTTAACTACCTAGCTGTATATTAAGAGCCTTGTGAACAGGAACCATTAAATAAGAACCAGGTACCATGCTTAGCAAACCTTCAGGAGTTGACTATTAATAAAAATGGATTTTTAGGGGCTACCCACTTCAGATCCCATTTCATAGAGCCTCCTGATTGTCTTGCAGCCAGGTGCACAAGAGTCATTTGCAATATAATAAATATTTCAAGGCTTATCAAGGAGATATTTTTGTTTTTAACTAATTTTACTGAAGTGTAACACCCATGGGGTATTAGAATTTTGCCTCTGCAGTCTGAAAGATTTTCAGTGATGTGAAACATTTTGGCAGGAGGTAATATAATATAATTTTGCTTTGGGTCAATATGAGTTTTTTTTTTTTTAAGAGTACATTCTGCAATTTTAATATAAGTAATTGGAAAGATATAATTTATTTACTCTTTTGTGAGACAGATTGTTAAATTTCCAAGTTTTATGTTATAACATAAAGCATTTCTTAATTGTAGCCCCTTGTTTTATATTTACGTAACTGGAATAAGCAACATGTTTGTGATTTACTCTGTCATGATCTAGGTACGTCGTTTCAGAGAAAGCAGACAAAAAAATACTAATGAAGAAGATGATGAAGTCCGTGAGGTAATTATTCTGCTATAAATTCCTATGTTTATATGTCACTTCCTTAAATTAGAATAACTAGTAGGTTTATTTAGAATAGTCAGTCCGTAGGTTTGGTGGTTTGGAGTGTGCTGGGGTTGGCTTAGGATAGTTGCCTTTGATTGATTTCAGTTCAGCCTACAAATATTCTGCTCATTGCTCTTTTTTTCCCTTTTGCCCTTGTCTAAAACCTGTTTAGCAGGTGCAATGGCTCACACCTATAGTCCTGGCTAATTAAGAGGCTAAGGTGGTAGGGGATTACTTGAGCCCAGGAGTTCAAGGCTATATTATGATTGCACCATCGCACTCTAGCATGGGCAAAAGAGCAAGACCCTGTCTTTAAAATAAATAAATAAAAATAAATAAAACCTATTTAATTGTATGCGTGTGGGGATATGTACAGCAAAAGCCCCTATTACTCAATATAATATCTAATTGTTACCAGAGCACCTTATAGATAAAATCTTATCTTACTGAGCTGATATTATTTTGGGCAAAAAAGAAACTTAAAATGTTTTGGTTACCAATGTTAACCATGACTAAGCAAGCATGGATAAATAGTTTCTGTTATCTATTCTAAAATATTAAAATTAACTTAAGCATCATCATCACAGTCTTGTCAGTCTCATTGCAGGATTGAAACTACAAGTTAGCAACTCTTCATTTAAACTTGAGGCCTCTACCTGGTACTTGGTGAATTTATGATTGAAATGTATTTTCTTATTTTCTAATTGTTCTCAGTGTTTTATCATTGCTATCTAGTATTTAAAAGTTATCTTGTAAATTATGTACTGTTAGTTTTGTCTTGATTGCGTTTATTCAACAGACATTCTGCATAGTCCCTGTTATGGGTTAGATATTCTGCTTTATATTAGGACTGTACGTATAAAAAAGCTATGGTCTGTATCCAGAAGATTTTCTCAATTTACTAGGTAAGAGACATGTGTGTAAAGAAGATGTATATTGAATTACTTTTCCTAGGTGCCCTTTTTGTAAATGAGCAGACAGAACAGACTCAAAGTCATATAGTGGGGTAGAATTTGAACATATTTTTGGCTCCAACTCTAGACTTTTCTATCCTGTGTCCTATCAACATTTTAGATTATTATGATATTAATTCAGTGCATTGCAAATGAATGGTTTTCTAAAAATGAAAAACTTCTAAAACTGTCATGCAGCACATCACCACTATATCTTTTGCAGGTTGTTTTTTGGAAGCTAACGAAAAGAAGTTATAGATTAGAAATGCCTTAACACATTTATTTTATTTATATTCATCTTATAAGGCACACTTAAAATAGAAATAGTTTGCCAAATTGCTAGAATAAATGCTAGGAAGAAATGATTCCTGTTTCTTAAAATCTGGCTTAAATTTGATTAACCATTTCAATTTAACAAGGTACAGCAATGTTTCTTTACTTTTGAATGAGTTCTTTATGTGTGTGAAGCCACAAAACTCAGTTTTTCATTAAGCTTTTAAAAGAGTAAGAGTGAACATCTTATACAAGGAAGGTAGGAGAGGCGGTGACAAATTTCAAATGGGAGTTTTACAGAAGAAATAACTTAGGAGTTCAGATATTCAGCTATATTTTAACATTAAAATGTAATCTGGGCTTCCTAGGTAATTTTTCAGCATGCCATAGAATGTTATAATTTTTTTCATTTTCTGCATACTATTTAGAACTTAGGAAATGGAGTCTGACATGCTGCCAAGCTGTAATTCACAGTTTTGCAGAATCATTTGGCCTAGAATATGAATCCTAACACCATGCTTAAATTACTTAAACAGACAAACAAGAGTATTAGCTCTTCTATTTGGAGAAAAAACATTATGCCTTAAAGTCTTTTAGGCCAGGCATTGTGGCTCACCTGTAATCCCAGCACTTTGGGATACATACACATAGTAATATAAGCATATTTAGGGTTTTTGACACATGAAGAAAATATTTACGTATTCCTCAGTCTTGTTTAAATCAGGAATGATTGGTGAATTACATGGCTCTGTATATGTGCAGATAAATATTTGGGTTTTTTCTTTCTTTGTTCTATTAATATAGTGAATTTTATATATATATATCGTATATATATCTTATAAGATGTATATATTATAGATTATGTTGATATATATCATATATATATCTTATTAATATAGTGAATTTTATATACATATATGTATATATATCTTATATATATATCTTATTATAGACCATCCTGGTATCACTTTGTAAACCCCCTGGTTATGGATATACTGGTCTTTCCATATGCTTCTGGAGTCCCCCTGTTTGCTTTCTTAATCATAAATAATATTCTGTAATTTTCTTTTTGTACATGAAGTTCTTTGTCAGTACTGTGTCATACTGGTGTTATCATTGTGAAAACAATTTGGAAGCTGTCTTTCTGTATGCTCTGGCACTATTGAAATAGCGGTGGACTTATCTGTTTTTTGAAAGTTTGGTAGAATTTACCTATGAAACTTTCTGATTGTGGTTCTTTTTTAGGAGTATTTTTCTTTTAATAATTTTCTCAAAATTTTCTTTGATAATTGGTTTGTTGAACCTATGTTTCTTTTTTTCCCTTGGGTCAGATTAAGGTATTCATTTTCCAGATTATTTAGAATTGAGCATTCTCTCCTAAGTCTTGAGGATTCCCTCCCATTCTTACTTCTTTTTTTCAAGACAGGGTCTCATTCTGTAGTGTGCTACCATTCCCCGCCAATTTTTAAATTTTTTTTTTACATAGATGGAATCTTCTTATGTTGCCCAGGCTGGTCTTTAACTCCTGGGCTCAAGTGATCCTCCTGACTTGGCCTTCCAAAGTTCTGGGATTAGAGGTGTGAGCCTCTACAGCTGTAGTCCTGGGATTAGAGGTGTGAGCCTCTATGCCGGTCCTTCTTATTTCTAGTGATGTATATTTGTGTTTTCTTCCTTTCTTTAAAGCTATGTGGTGATTTTTATTAATGTTATTGTTTTGTCCCAAAGACCCAGTGATTAGATTTATTTATTATGATGTGGTTTTATTTGAAATCTATTGATATATTAATCTATCTTCATGCTAATACTTGGACAGGCTTTATTTCGTTTCTCCTTTTTTTAAAAATATATTTTATTGTACTTTAGGTTCTGGGGTACATGTGCAGAACATGCAGGATTGTTGCATAGGTACATACATGGCAAGGTGGTTTGCTGCCTCCATCCCCGTCACCTGTAACTGGAATTTCTCCCCATGTTATCCCTCCCCAACTCCCTACCCGCCAGTGTCCCTCCCATAGTCCTCCCCAACAGACCTGAGTGTGTGATGCTCTCCTCTCTGTGTCCATGTGTTCTCATTGTTCAACACCCACCTATGAGTGAGAACATGCAGTGTTTGATTTTCTGTTCTTGTGTCAGTTTGCTGAGAATGATGGTTTCCAGATTCATCCATGTCCCTACAAAGGACACAAACTCGTCGTTTTTTATGGCTGCATAGTATTCCATGGTGTATTTTCCTTATCCAGTCTATCATCCATGGGCATTTGGGTTGGTTCCACATCTTTGCTATTGTAAATAGTGCCACTATGAACATATGTGTGCATGTGTCTTTATAATAGAATGATATCATAATCCTTTGGGTGTATACCCAGTAATGGGATTGCTGGGTCAAATGGAATTTCTATTTCTAAGTCCTTGAGGAATCACCACACTGTCTTCCACAATGGTTGAACTAATTTATACTCCCAACAACAGTGTAAAAGTGTTCCTATTTCTCCTTATCCTCTCCAGTATCTGTTGCCTCCAGATTTTTTAATGATCACCATTCTAACTGGTGTGAGGTAATATCTCCATGTGGTTTTGATTTGCATTTCTCTGATTACCAGTGATGGTGAGCATTTTTTCATATGTTTGTTGGCCTCATAAATGTCTTATTTTGAAAAGTGTCTGTTTATATCCTTCGCCCACTTTTGAATGGGTTTGTTTTTTTCTTGTAAATCTGCTTTAGTTCTTTGTAGATTCTGGATATCAGCCCTTTGTCAGATGGGTAGATTGCAAAAATTTTTTCTCATTCTGTTGGTTGCCGGTTCACTCTAAGGATTATTTCTTTTACTGTGCAGAAGCTCTGGAGTTTAATTAGATCCCATGTGTCTATTTTGGCTTTTGTTGCCAATGCTTTTGGTGTTTTAGTTATGAAGCCTTTGCCTATGCCTATGTCATGAATGGCTTTGCCTAGGTTTCCTTCTAGGGTTTTTGTGGAGTTAGGTCTTATTTTATGTGTTTAATCCATCTGGAGTTAATTTTAGTGCCAGTTTCTGCTTTCTGCACACGGCTAGCCAGTTTTTCCAACATCATTTATTAAACAGGGAATCCTTTCCCCATTACTTGTTTTGGTCAGGTTTGTCAAAGATCAGATGGTTGTAGATGTGTGGCATTGCCTCTGATGCCTCTGTTCTGTTCCATTGGTCTATATCTCTGTTTTGGTACCAGTACCATGCTGTTCTAGTTACTGTATCCTTTTAGTATAGTTTGAAGTCAGGTAGCTTGATGCCTCTAGCTTTGTTCTTTTTGCTTATAATTGACTTGGCTCTGTGGGCTCTCTTTTGGTTCCATATGAAATTTAAGGTGGATTTTTCCAGTTCTTTGAAGAGGGTCATGGGTAGCTTGATGGGGATAGCGTTGAATTTGTAAATTACTTTGGGCAGTATGGCCATTTTCACGCTATTGATTCTTCCTAACCATGAGCATGGAATATTTTCCATCTGTTTATGTCCTCTTATTTCTTTGAGCAGTGGTTTGTAGTTCTCCTTGAAGAGATCCTTTACATCCTTTGTTAGTTGTATTCCTAGGTATTTTATTCTCTTTGTAGCAATTGTGAATGGCAGTTCGTTCTTGATTTGGCTCTCTTTAAGTCTGTTATTGGTGTATAGGAATGCTTGTGATTTCTGCACGTTGATTTTGTATACTGAGACTGCTAAAGTTGCTTATCAGTTTCAGGAGATTTTGGGCTGAGACGGTGGGGTCTCCTAGATATACAATCATGTTGTCTGCAAATAGAGACAATTTGACTTCTTCCTTTCCTAATTGAATAACCTTTATTTCTTTTTCTTGCCTCCTTGCTCTGGCTAGAACTTCCAATACTATATTGAAAAGGAGTGGTGAGAGAGGGCATCTTTGTCTAGTGCCAGATTTCAAAGGGAATGCTTCCATTTTTGCCCATTCAGTATGATATTGGCTGTGATTTTGTAAATAGCTTTTATTACTATGAGATACGTTCCATTGATACCTAGTTTATTGAGAGTTTTTAGCATAAAGGCTGTTGAATTTTGTTGAAGCCCTTCCCTTTATCTATTGAGGTAATCATGTGGTTTGTGTCTTTGGTTCTGTTCATGTGGTGAATTACGTTTATAGACTTGCATGTGTGGAAGCAGCCGTGCATCCCCAGGATTAAGCCTACTTGATCATGGTGGATAAGCTTTTTGATGTGCTGTTGCAATTGGTTTGCCGGTATTTTACTGAAGATTCTTGCATCTATGTTCATCGTGGATATTGGCCTGAAGTTTTCTTTTTTTTGTTGAGTCTCTGCTGGGTTTTGATATCAGGATGATGTTGGTCTCATAAAATGATTTGGGAAAGATTCCCTCTTTTTGGATTGTTTGGAATAGTTTCAGAAGGAATGGTACCAGCTCCTCTTTGTATGTCTGGTAGAATTCATCTGTGAACCCATCTGGACCTGGGCTTTTTTTGGTTGGTAGGCTATTAATTACTGCCTTAACTTCAGCCCTTGTTATTGGTCTATTCAGGGTTTCGACTTCTTCCAGGTTTAGGCTTGGGAGGGTGCAAGTGTCCAGTAATTTATACATTTCTTCCAGCTTTACTGATTTATGTGCATAGAGTTGATTGTAGTAATCTCTGATGGTAGTGTGTATTTCTGTGGAATCAGTGGTGATATCCCCTTAATCGTTTTTCATTGCATCTATTTGATTCTTCTCTCTTTCCTTTTTTATTAACCTGGCTAGTGTTCCATTTTGTTGAGCTTTTCAAAAAATCAGCTCCTGGATTTATTAATTTTTCGAAGGGTTTTTTGTGTCTCTATCTCCTTCAGTTCTGCTCTGATCTTATTTGTTTCTTGTCTTCTGCTAGCTTTTGAATTTTTTTGATCTTGCTCCTCTGGCTCTTTCAATTTTGATGACAGGGTGTCTATTTTAGACCTTTCCGTGCTTCTCATGTGGGCATTTATTGCTATAAATTTTCCTCTAGACACTGCTTTAAATGTGTCCCAGAGATTCTGGTATGTTGTCTTCATTCTCGATTTCCAAGAACATCTTTATTTCTGCCTTCATTTCATTGTTTATCTAGTCAATATGCAAGAGCCAGTTGTTCAGTTTCCATGAAGTTCTGCAGTTCTAAGTTAGTTTCTTAATCCTGAGTTCTAATTTGATTGCACCGTGGTCTGAGAGACTGTTTGTCATGATTTCCATTCTTTTACATTTGCTGAGGAGTGATTTACTTCCAATTATGTGGTGAATTTTAGAGTAGGTGTGATGTGGTGCTGAGAAGAATGTATATTCTGTGGATTTGGGGTAGAGAGTTCTGTAGATGTCTATTAGGTTTGCTTGGTCCAGATCTGAGTTCAAGTCCTGGATATCCTTGTTAATTTTCTGTCTCGTTGATCTGTCTAATACTGACAGTGGAGTGTTAAAGTCTCCCACTATTATTGTGTGGGAGTCTGAGTCTCTTTGTCGGTCATTAAGAACTTGCTTTATGTATCTGGATGCTCCTGTATTGGGTGCGTATATATTTAGGATCTTAGCTCTTTGATCCTTTTATCATTATGTAATGTCCTTCTTTGACTTTCTTGATCTTCATTGGTTCTTTGTCTTTTTTGATCTTCATTTGTTTAAAGTTATTTTATCAGAGACTAGGATTGTAACTCCTGCTTTTTTTTGTTCTCCATTCGCTTGGTAAATCTTCCTTCATCCCTTTATTTTGAGCTTATGTGTATATCTGCACATGAGATGGGTTTCCTGGATACAGCACACCGATGGGTTTTGATTTTTTTATCCAATTTGCCAGTCTGTGTCTTTTGATTGGGGCATTTAGCCCATTTACATTTAAGATTAATATTGCTATGTGTGAATTTGATACTGCCATTTTGATGCTAGCTGGTTGTTTGCCCATTAGTTGACACAGTTTCCTCATTGTGTCAGTGCTCTTTACCACTCGATACGTTTTTGGAGTGCCGGCTACTGGCCGTTCCTTTCTGTTTAGTGCTTCTTTCAGGAGCTCTTGTAAGGCAGGCCTGGTGGTGACGAAATCTCTCAGCAATTGCTTGTTTGTAAAGGATTTTATCTCTTTCGCTTATGAAGCTTAGTTTGGCTGGATATGAAATTCTAGGTTGAAAGTTCTTTTCTTTAAGGATGTTGAATATTGGTCCCCACTCTCTTATGGCTTGTAGGGTTTCTGCCGAGAGGTCCACTCTTGAGTCTGCTGGGCTTCCCTTTTTGGGTAACCCAACCTTTCTCTCTGGCTGCCCTTAGCATTGTTTCCTTCATTTGAACCCTGGTGAAACTGACAATTATGTGCCTTGGTGTTGCTCTTCTTGAGGAACATCTCTGTGGTGTTCTCTGTGTTTCCTGGACTTGAATGCTGGCCTGCCTTGCTAGTTTGGGGAAGTTCTCCTGGATAATATCCTGAAGAGCATTTTCCAGCTTAGGTTCATTGTCTCCGTCACATTCAGGTACACCTATCAAACGTAGATTAGGTCTTTTCACATAATCCCTATTTTTTGGAGCCTTTTTTCTATTTTTGTAGTTTGTTAAGAGACAAGTTCTGGCCATGTTGCCCAGGCTGGCCTCCAACTCCTGATCTTAAGTAGTCTACCCACCTTGGCCTCCCAAAGTTCTGTGATTATAGGTGTGAGCCACCATGCCCAGCCCTTTCTTTAGCATATATTTGTAAGACATTGTTGCTCATGTTTTTTCTGATTACAAAAGTAATTTTTTAGAAAAAGCATGTTATGGAAAATATGTAATATTCAAGAATGAAAAACGGAAGCACCCTAAAATTTTACTGCCCAGAGATAACAGCTATTTTTTATAATTTTTTTCCTTGTTATTTACTAGGAGCCTATTCTCAAAAGTAGCTCAAATGATGACAGGCTGTTATGGTCAAATGTCGTATTGAATTAGGGGTGATTGCCAGTATTCCTTCTAATTCTGAAAGTTTTGATTCTGTGAGATTTTATTCTTCTTGGTAAACCTTTCCAAAGGGTCTCATTTTACAGGTAGGATGGTAGATTGATCTGACAGATAATAAGCATTAAATTTGATTGGTGAGGAGGTTCTCCTTTACACATATATAAATAAATTTTTTTTTTTTTTTGAGACAGGCTTTCTCTCTGTCACTCAGGCTGGAGTGGAGTGGTGTGATTATAGCTCACTGCAGCCTCTGTCTCCTCAGCTTAAGTGATCCTCCTGCCTCAGCCTCCTGTGTAGCAGGGACTACAGGCGCATACCACCATGCCTGGCTAAGTTTTGTATTTTTTTTTTGTAGACACAGTGTTTCCCCATGTTGCCCAGGCTTTTCTTGAATTATTGGGCACAAGGCATCCTCCTGCCTCACCCTCCCAGTGTTCTGGGATTACAGGCGTGAACCACCTTGCCAGCCTCCTTTATCTTTTTATAGCATGATTAGTTCATCTCAATGCCTAAATTAATTATTTGTAGGATAGTGCATTATCTGCTTGTATGTACTTTCTCTTTCTTCTCCCTCTTAGGCTATCAACAGGGCCAGAGCGCTCAGATCTCAGTCAGAAGAGTCTGCTTCTGCCTTTAGTGCTGATGACCTTATGAGTATAGGTTTAGCAGAACAGATGGCTGATGACTCTGATGATAGCATCTCAGGAGCAGCCAGCAAAGGAAGAGGCCGAGGAAGAGGTCGAAGAGGAGGAAGAGGGCAGAATTCAGCATCTAGAGGAGTGTCTCAAAGAGGAAGAGGTAAGCACTGAGTTTAGTCGTATGCACATTCAGACTTGGCAGTTGAGTGGAAAATATAGAATTAGATCTCATCAGAATTGAATTATAGGTTTTTATTTCTAAAACATGGTTCTTTAAAAATCTATTTTTGTAATATATAAAGACAGTCTTTAAGGCAGTTCTCACGTGTGCCTTTTACTTAAGTAAATTTTGAATGGCCACATGCACTTAGGGTTTTAATTGTTTTTAACACATACCTTATAAAAGCTTCACTGTGTTTGTCACACAGTACTTTTTGGGTACATTTTATGTCATATGTATTCTCATATGTACAAAGTAATAGGCAAATATGAGTTGTTAAAGAAAATAGTTAGCTAAAAAGCCTTTGGCAACAGGAAGAAAACTGAGATCATAAAATTATTTTTTTTGTTACGGTCATAAGATACAAATACCCACATGCTTATCAAACATCTTGATCAAGTCAGTTTAAGAAGGAAAACTGCCTCCAAATTGATTTCTAAAAGTAGTCATTAACATTGTCATCATTGTGTTTACTGTGAGACTATTGTCATTGAATAGTTCAAGCCAATAGAAATTGGTCATTCAGAGACTTTCTCACACATTATGTCAATTCATCTCTAAGGATTAAAAAAATTTTTATTAAATATGTATCCATAGGAATTTTAAATCGGTGAAATGAATAGTAATTTGATTTAAAATCTCCAGGGAGAGAAATCTCTGTCTTTTAATGATGATTATTTTCACTATTCTTAACATTTACAAAATTTTTCCTTAAAATTTTTTATTTTCTTATATTTTTTGTAGATGGAATCTTGCTCTGTCACCCAGGCTAGAGTGCAGTGGTACAATCTCAGCTCACTGCAACTTCTGCCTCCTAGGTTCAAGCAGTTCTCCTGCTTCAGCCTCCCAAGTAGCTGATATTACAGGTGCCCACCGACATGCCTGGTTAATTTTTGTATTTTTAGTAGAGATGGAGTTTCACCATATTGGCCAGGCTGGTCTTGAACTCCTGACTTCAAGTGATCCTCCTGCCTCGGCTTCCCAAAGTGCTGAGATTACAGGGGTAAGCCACCACTCCTGGCCTATTTGCTTACATTTTAATTGGATAAATATTAACTAAAATGTGGCCTAAAAGAATTTTCAATCTCTGAAAACTGGTCAGACTCTAGATGTTTGTTCTTATGTATATGTCTGGCTTTTTACAGACAAACTGTTTGACATAAGTCTATTTAGCTTTCATTTTTTGGTGTTGTGTGAAATAAACCTTAGTTGCTGATATGATTGTACATTGACTGTTCATTATTCTGAAAGCAGGCACTGGTCTGGAGACTTCTACTCGTAGCAGAAACTCAAAGACCACTGTGTCAACATCTAGAAATATGTCTATTATAGATGGTGAGTATAGACTGCAAGTAGCTATTTATAAATTCTAATATTAGATAATCCCCATTAATAGCCCTTATTTGTGTTGCCATCATTAGGAAGTTAAAAGGGCAATTAGGATCACAGGATAAATTGTTTTTTAAAAGATCTTCGCTCCAGGTCTTTGCTATTGTAAACAGAAAATGCAATTAAAAAAAATTGAAAAAAAAAAAAAGATCTTTGCTATGCATTAGAGTTACTGAAGAGAGTAAGCTTTTAAAATTATGTTTTATAATTTCTTACTTTTAGACAAATGTTATTGTTGTTTCTCTTAGAGAGATCCTGGAAACATAGGAAAGTGAATCGGTTGGTCACTGTATGGACAGTGGTCGAAAAAGAGAGGAACAGCATGTGCTGTTTCTTTGCTTCTCCCTTGCTGCTCTGTCAGTCTCTGCTTTCCATATAGAGAAGTCATGTGACCTATATTTAAGAGAAATTAGGCTCTTGGAATTAATTTTTATATAATTCCATGGTCTAAAAATTGGCCTCAACTTAAAGGGATCTGTTTAACTATTTTTAATATTATAAATTATGAGATTACCCTAAAATGTTAGTCATATTTACAAAAAGTATGTGTTAAGTGGTGATATATTTTTTTACTTAGCATTTAGAATATATTCATATGTATTTTATTTATATTATCCTATTAGTTATTTTTGGTTATTGTCTCACTTTTATATTTATGAATATTAATTTATTAAATATTATGATATTTATAATCTTATAGCTAGTATTAATTTTTGACACACGGGGGAGATGAACTAAGTCTCAGAAGATGAAATTTATCAGGGGAAATATAAACTGTATGTCCAAAAGGACAGCTGCACAAATAGAGTGAGAGGTATGTGAGTTTAACAGCAACCAAGGTGAGAAAGAATTAGGTCAGTAAGAGTTATGCTGGCAGACCCAACTGTCCATATCTATTGATGTCTTAAACAGTATTAATATAAATAAATAGTATAAAATAAATAAACAGTATTAATAGAAATAATGAGTCTTGCAGGGGTGTCCAAGGGAGAGAATACAGTCATGGGTTCTTAGTTTCTCTTTCCGGTTGGGCCAGTAAAGTCCCTTTCTTATCCCTCCTTTCCTCATATCACTAGTGACAGAAACTAAAAACCATGGCATCAGGTTGCTAAAAACCTAAACCAAAACAAAACAGAACAACAACAACAACAAAATGAGGTGGGTTGGACAAGGTTGCACAGCAAGGAAGTTCTCCCTGTGTACTAAATTGGACATATCATGCCAAGACTACCGTACTCCTCTTTGAAATTATATTTCAAGGAGACTATCAACTATATATGATCAATTAGAAGAGATACCAAATAATATAAAAAATGATTGGCCACTGCCTCACCCAGGAAGTGCAGCTGGATGGCGGATCAGGGACTCTTCCCCTCCGGTACTCCAGTTTAGATACTGTGCTTCTCCCATGGCCTTTGCAACCCACAAACAAGGAGATCCCCACCAGGCTGAAAAGCGCCATGAGTTACTAGCACAGATCTGAGCAGCAGCTCCAGTCTGTGCGGTGGGTTGTCCACACAGATGTGAGCGGATGCTTTGACTAGCACCAAGAGCGCCTGCAGGATGGAACTTCCCGCTCCCCAGAAAGAGAGGGAGCTGAAAGCAGGGAGACAGGTGATACGGCTTGGTGGGTCCCACCCCCACAAAGACTACTAGCAAGCTGAAGCCCTCTCGCTTGATAGTTTCACAGCCAGCACATCAGTTAAAGCTCAACCCAAGACGATCGAGCTCATTGAGGAGAAGGGCATCTGCTATAGCTGATCTTACCTCTGTAAACAAAAGCCAGAGAAAGCTTCACAGCAGCTGGACTGAGACTGTGTCAGACCAGCAGCGCCTCTGCAGGAAGACAAGGGACAGACTGCCTCCTCAAGCGACTAATCAACCAATGTGTAACTAAAAACACGCCACATACAGAACTCTGGCTGACATCTGGCAGTTACCCTTCTGAGATGAAGCTACCAGAGGAAAGATCAGGCAGCAATACTTGCTGTTCTGCATCCCCCATGGGTGACTCCCAGGCAAGCAAGGTCTGGAGTGGACCTCCAGCAGTCCTACAGCAGAGGGGCCTGACTGTTAGAAGGAAAACTAAAAAACAAAAAGAAATAGCTTCACTGTCAACAGAAAGGACGTCCACTCAGAGACCTCATCCGAAATCACCAACTTCAAAGATCAAAGGTAGGTAACTCCATGAAGATGGAAGAAACCAGTGCAAAAAGGATGAAATCATCAAAGACCAGAACACTTCTCCTCCTCCAGGAGATCGCAACTCCTCACCAGCAAGGGAACAAAACAGTATGGAGAATAAGTTTGATGAACTGACAGACACAGGCTTCAGACGGTGGGTAATAACAAACTATTCTGAGCTAAAGGAGCATGTTGTAACCCAATGCAAAGAAACTAAAAACCTTGAAAAGGTTAGATGAAATTCTAACTAGAATAACAAGCTTAGAAAAGAACATAAATGACTTGATGGAGATGAAAAATACAGCACAAGAACTTTGCAAAACATGCACAAGTTTCAATAGCCAAATCGATCAAGCAGGAGAGAAGATATCAGAGATTGAAGGTCAACTCAATGAAATAAAACGAGAAGGCAAGATTAGAGAAAAAAGAGTCAAAATAAATGAACAAAGCCTCCAAGAAATATGGGATTATGGGAAAAGACCTAATCTGTGCTTAATTGGTGTACTGGAATGTGACAGGGAGAATGAATCCAACCTGGAAAACACTCTTCAGGATATTATCCAGGAGAACATTCCCAGCCTAGCAAAGCAGACCAACATTCAAGTCCAGGAAATACAGAGAACACCACAAAGATATTCCTCAAGAAGAGCAACCCCAAGGTGCATAATCATCAGATTCACCAGGGTTGAAATGAAGGAAAAAATGCTAAGGGCAGCCAGAGAGAAAGGCCAGGTTACCCATACAGGGCAGCTCATCAGACTCACAGCAGATCTCTCTGCAGAAACCCGGCAAGCCAGAAGAGGGTGAGGGCCAATATTCAACATCCTTAAAGAAATGAGCTTTCAACCCAGTATCTCATATCCAGCCAAACCAAGCTTCGTAAGTGAAGGAGAAATAAAATCCTTTACAGACAAGCAATTGTTAAGAGATTTTGTAACCAGCAGTCCTGCCTTACAAGATCTCCTGAAAGAAGCACTAAACAGAAAGGAACAACCAGTACCAGCCACTCCAAAAACATACCAAATGGTAAAGACCAACAACACAATGAAGAAACTGCATTAACTAATGGGCAAAACAACCAGCCAGTAACAAATGGCAGGAGCAGATTCACACATAACAATATTAATGTTAAATGTAAACAGCCTAAATGCCCCAATCAAAAGACACAGACTGGCAAACTGGACAAAAACTCAAGATCCATCAGTGTGCTGTGTTTAGGAGACCCATCTCATGTACAGAGACACACATAGACTCAAAATAAAGAGATGGAGGAAGATTTACCAAGCAAATGGAGAGCTAAAAAAAAAGCTGGAGTTGCAATCCTGGTCTCTGATGAAACAGACTTTAAACCTGCAAAGATCAAAAGAGACGAAGGATATTACATAATGGTAAAAGGAGAGCTAATGATCCTAAATATATATGCCCCCAATAGAGGAGCACCCAGATACATAAAGCAAGTTCTTAATGACCTACAAAGAGACTTAGACTCCCACATAATAATGGTGGGAGACTTTAAAACCCTACTGTCAGTATTTAAACCGATCAATGAGAGAGAAAATTAACAATCATATCCAGAACTTGAACTCAGATCTGGACCAAGAGGACCTAATAGACATCTGCAGAAATCTGCACCCAAATCCACAGAATATACATTCTTCTCAGCACCACATCACACTTACTCTAAAAGTGACCACGTAATTGGAAGCAAATCACTCATCAGCAAATGCAAAAGAACGGAAATTGTAATAAACAGTCTCTCAGACTGTTACAAAAAATTCCATTGCTATATTTTTACTTAAGTATTATTTAGTACTTCAGAAGAGCCAGCTAAGATCCTTACCTTTTTGCTTTAGAAACATGTTGTCTTTATTGCCATTTAGGAAATGGCATCTGAAAAGATGCTGTTTTATTCTTGGTGGGTTTAGTATAAAAGAGAGGAAGAAAGAGAGAAAAGGCAGCCTGGTAAATTGTGAAGGATCCATGCTGAGTTCAACCTTGCGTTCAACAAATGACAGCTTTGTGACTTGAGACAAGTCACTCACTCTCCTAGTTTGTTTAGTTATGAATTGCAAATAGTAATCTCTTTTTTATTGATTTATTATGAAGATTAAATGATCAAAAAGCCTGGCACATAGTAGGCATTTATGAAATGTTATTGTTATTAATATTAAAAATGAGAAATCAGAAACATAGAAAAAGAATGAGTAAAATAATGAACACTTCCATGTAGCATGCAATTGTTAGTCATATATGTAGATTATCTACCTTTACTTTCGCCCAAATTATCTTTTTTTTGTCCTGGCTTTTTTGTTTGTTTGTTTTTTCTGCCCTGTGGAATCGTTTCCTGGCTTGTTTTATGTGAAGCTTTCCTTGACTCCATTGGGTAGAATTCATCACTTAAAATGAGTCTTTGAGTTTCCACTGTAGTTAAGAAATCAGATATTAAGCTTATTTGTTTTGTTTTTTAAAAAGTAACCTGTTTTTCCCTCAGCTTGCTGTTTTTATATTCTGCAGTTTCACTGTGATATATCTAAAGATGGTATCCTTTTTTATCCTGCTTAGGATTTATTGAGCTTCATGAATCTCTGAACTGGTATTCCATCACTTCTAGAAAATCTTTAGCTATTATCCCTTCAGATATTACCTCTATGCTATTCATATTCTCCTTCCTTCTGAGTCTTCAGTTAAATATATATAAGACCTTTTTACTCTGTCCTCCCAGGACTCTTGTATTTTCTTTTTTCTCTTTCTGTGCTATATTC